CTAGTTTAAAAAAATTGAAGAAACAGGGCCCTAAGTAGTCAATTGGCAGGGACACAGCAGACCACACGAAGAGCACTAGCTGGTTCTCTCTGCCTGGAAAATAGATGGTTTTGTGTCGTGTCTCTCCCCCCCCCCCAGATATGGTTTCTCTGTGTAACCCTGGCTGTCCTGGACAGTTTTCTTGATTATCCCACAACTGGGAATCCTTAAGAGGCTACAAAGTCCACCACTGCTAGAGAACTCTTTAAGTGCCAACAGTGGCTGCAAAACAAACACCAACTTTGAAAAAGAAAATAGTCCCCAGACATGATGGCCTATGTCTGTGATCCCAGCACTTGAGAAACTAAGGGAGGAGGATCACCATGATTTTAAGGAAACCTAGTCTACAGAATGTATTCTGGCCTGGCCTGGACAATTTAGTTAGACACTGTCTCAAAATAAAAGTGAAATAGTGGGTTGGTGATGTACTGCAGTGATAAAACACTTGCCTTGTATGTGCAAGATCCTAGGTTCAATCCCTAGTACTGTGAAAAGTAATATGTTGCTGACCTAGTATATTATTGCTAATGATACGCAAGATTCCCTTTCTTTAAAAAAAAATTCAGTCTTAGATGTCAGGTCTGTCACATTACATTGGTCTTCCTTAGCTCCACCCCAACAGAGGACTAAGCTCTACAGGGTTGCAATGAAGAAGCATAGTTCTGTAATGTTCTGAGTTAGTTAACGTTTAGGCGATTACCCCAAATCCATCACAATTGAAGACAGTAAAAAGAGCAAAAACCAGTTCTAACAAAGGACGTGGAGATACATGGACTTTAAGTCTAGTATTAGGAAGCAGAGGCAGGTAGACTACTGTGAGTTCAAGGCTACCCTGGTTTCTTTAGCAAGGTTTAGGCAAGTCAGCTACATAGTGGAACCTTGTCTTGAGGGGAAGGGGATTTGGTTCCCAGCACCCATGTGGTGGCTCCGAGTCGTCTGTAACTGTAGTTCCTGGGATCCAACTCCCTTTTCGGGCTTCTGCAGCACTCACGCATATAGTGCACTTATTTGTAGGCAGAATACTCAGACCCATAAAATAAGTAATTTAAAAACCCTTTAAACAAATAATTGTTAGGTGGGTGTGGTAGCACACACCTTTAATCCCAGCACTTGAGAGGCCAGATCTCTATAACTTTGAGGCCAACCTGGGATCAAAGATGTGTGCCACAGCATATTGATTTAGTGCTTTTTTGCAGACATTTATCAAGTGTTTTTGTTTCTGCTGTGTGCCAGACTTGGTCTCAGGTCCTGTGGAAGATCATGATAATTAATAAGCACTTGTATAAAAAATATAAGGCATGGTAGTGCTTGCTTTTAATCCTAGTACTTAGAGGAGGCAGACAGATCTTCATATGTTAGAGGCCAGCTTGCGATACATAGCATGTTCCATGCGAGCTAAGGCTACACAGTGAGACCTTGTCTCAGATAGGGAAGAAAAGGTAACAGCATTCCTTCCTTTGGGAGATACTTAAGACATTCCAGGGAAAAAGTGAGGCGACAGTTGTGGTGTCAAACAAGGGACTTACTTAGGTGATTCTGAGAACCTGCCTGGTGGATGAAAAGAAGAGATTTTCAAAGGACTGAGCATGTCCCATTAACTGACCCAGTGGAGTGTGGCGCTGCTGTCGATAAACACTGACTGAATGGTGCAGGCCTGCTGTTTGTGGTCTTGGTACAGTGTCCTAAGATAGAGGGTAGCAGCTGATTGTGAAGTCTTCCAGTTTAGTACTTGAGAAAACAATTGAGAGGTACAAATGATAACTACAAATTCAGCTGGAGTAGATTGTAAAGCAGGGTCTCTCTTCTTGCTTGACAGAAGGAAGCCAGAAAAGACCAAACCTGAATTGTTGTCAGAGACAATGTGGTTGTGTTCTGTCTGGTCCAGAAAGTAATCTGTGATAGTCAGATTTGGGTTTTGAATGAATAAGTTTATTGAGTATACAGGAAACAGAAATAAAATAAGTAGCAAGTAGAATTTAGACAGCAACCAGCAAACACTTTCACATTGGGGATTCAAAACATCAGGCAGACATCAATGGGGGAAGCCTCTCTAAGGCAGCCAGATGGCATTCCCAACAGAGAGGCTCTTGGGCAGAGAAGAATGTTCTCTCAGATGAGATTCCCGAGGAAAGGAGTAAATAACAACAGGAAGGCAACTTCATCAGCTTAATACTTAGAACATTCAGTAGAAACTGACTGGCTAGGAGTATGAGACAGTCAGCGGGAGTTTCCAGTTAGGCTTTCTCTCTATGGCTGAGCCTTCCATGGCTTTAGGCACTTTTGTATCATGGGATAAACAATAGTAACCTCTGTTGGAGATAGTTTGCCTTCTTAGACTCTGTCACAGAGTAGGGGGCAGCCATTTTCAGATAAGGTGTATTGGAAGACACTTTACATAACCATGCCTGCGTTTGAAGATGAGGAGGTAAACCAGATTCCAGAGCTCTAACAGCACAGGGCAACTTTTTAATATAATGAACATTCCAGGGTGCCAGTCTTCTCAACTCAGAGCACAAAATAGAGAACTCGCAGGAGGTATTTATGTTGGAAATGAAAGCATTCCTGTTCTGGGCATGCAGCATATGACCTGGGAGGCAAAGGATCAGTGGTCAAGAGCACCTGTTGATTTGAGAGACCTGGTTTGGTTCCCTGCATCCACATGGCAGCTCACAACCAGCAGGAACTTCATCCAGTTCCTGGGGATCAAATGCCCTTTTCTGACTTCCTAGGGTACCAGGAACATCTATGGTACACATTAACACATGGAAACAAAACAGTCTCCCTCCAATACAGCACACCCTCTCTCTCCCTCTCCCTCTTTCTCTCTCTCTCTCTCTGACACACTCTTAAAATCAGTCTGAAGAGGTGCTTCAGTGGTTAAGACCATTGTGTGCTCCTTTTTTTTTTTTTTTTTTTTTGTCTTTGAAACCAGAGCATTTATTTTATGACTGATTGAAATGCTCAAGATGAACTAGTTGCTGCAACAGCTGCCTTCTTGGGTTTAGCTGTTGTTCCTTCATGGAATCCGTGCCTGAATCTTCGATAGACAATTTTTAGGTGCCTCATCCGACCAGTCCTGGTAGTGTTTCGTCTCTTAGCCTTAGCACTCCAGCTATACTTCCTCTTGCGCTTGGTAGGGTAGCCACGTTGCCACAGGTTGACTTCTGAAAGTGATAGGCCGTAGAGCCACAGAGGCAGCACAGCATGTATGTCCTATTAAGACACTTTCCAAAGGATGATGTTCCCTTCATCATCTTGTTCCTGCCGCCGAGGCCAAACAGACTGAAAGAGCCATTGTCTGTTCTTACTCAGGACCTGGGATAATTCCCAGCGACCTGTGTTAGATGACTTACAACCAACTGTAACTCTAGGAGATCTAACTCTTGGGACCCTTCTGGCTTCCACAGGTTCTCATGCACACTTGTACTCCCCATAATTAAAAATCATAAGTACTTATGACAGCATCATCAGTCTTTATACTTAAGATCTTAGCTCAGATTATATATCAAAACCCGCCTGTAGCCATCTACCTGCAGCTGTTCATTTAAACTTAGGTTAGACACAGTGAATAAAGCAGGCAACATGGGAGCCCTGGCCCTGTCACTAGCCTCCTTTAAGCAGATGCAAGCTGCTGTTTGAAGACTTTCCAGGATGTATTCCCTATAGAAAGCTAGTACAGCTTTGGATAAAATGAACTCTGACACTTTGTAGCGTTTGGGTCCCATTGTTAATCCAGTCCACACTGAAAGAGTTCTACTCTCCAAGGCTTGTGTCTCTGTTTTTACCACATGTCTTACCACTTCTGTGTACATCTTCTTTGCATATTCTGCTTGAGCCAGTTGTGCAAAGGTCTGGTTCACTGCTGTGGCTCTGTGCTGTTGGATTGGCAGGGGCTCAGCTCTGGGGAGCTGTACTGCTTTTCATCCTGAAAGGCAGGACCAGCTTCCTGCTGCTCTCAGAGAGTAGACCCTGATGACCAAACATTTTCTCCAGCAACTGCTCACTTTGACTTTGCTAGGATCACATTCGCTAAAGCAAGTAATATAGCAAGTGCAGCTGCCTGTGAGGTGTGGCTGTGGGGCCTGTGATGCAGATGGACCCACTGTACCGCCACCCACCTTCTCGAGCAAGGACTTCCAAGCTGGTATCATTCAGAATCTTATTGAGGAATCATTTGGAATCAACAAATCGCATGTAATCCTAATACAGTTCATTGGGACTGCACAGGTTTTTATATAGGACCTCAGGTGTGTGGATAATGAATAGGACCAAGTTTAATCACAAACTAGTCTCTCTCTCTCTCTCTCTCTCTCTCTCTCTCTTTTTATTCTCGAGACAGGGTTTCTCTGCAACAGCCGTAGCTGTCCTGGACTTGCTTTGTAGACCAGGTTGGACTCAAAGTCTCAATCTTCAAACCCACAGAGATCCACCTGCCTCTGCTTCCCAATGCCAGGCAGTTACAAACTATTCTAACCTAAATCTAATCTTGTTTTTAGAAGGCAAAATACATTCAGAATGTGTGGTATTCATTTCTCTCAGGACTGCTGCTGTTTCCACTAATGGAAGCGCTTGGGAATACTGTTTGGTTATAAATTATAAAGGTACTCCAGAAGCCGGGCATGCCGGCTTAAGACTGTGATCCCACCACTCAGGGAGGCACAGACAGGCGGATCTCTGTGAGTTCGAGGTCAGCCTGGTCTACAAAGTGAGTCCAGGATAGCCAGGACTACACAGAGAAACCCTGTCTCAAAAAATCTTGAAAAACAAACAAACAAACAAACAACAACAACAAAAACAGAAAAGAAAAATGTACTTCAGGGTTACTCTGGATTTCTATGTTGTTTTATTCTTAGGAATAGAGTAATAAATATAATGAAGTAGTTTTCTAAGAGAAAACTTATACTGTAAGCAGAGTATAATATTTAATAACATAGGGGTTTGTCTTTTGCTTTGTTTTTTAGCTCTTCAGAGAAGTAAGAATAATGAAGATTTTAAATCATCCAAACATAGGTACTTTCTGCTTTCTTAAATACTTGGGGTTTAAATATGCAGTCTTGAAAATATGTCAAAGCTAAACATGTATTTCTGAAGTGATAGGAAGCTCTACCCCTTTTCCCTATGCCATGTATATTTTTAATAAAATATATATACAAGTTACTGTTTATACTGGCTCTTTGAAATTACAGGCATTAAGCATTTGAATTAAACTTTAGTGCCATAAGAGTATGGATACTCAGTCTGACTTTTTTTTTTTTTCTTAGTGTATTGGGGAAATATAATTGTATTTCATTAGCTGATAATATTTTCAAGAATAGCGTATAAAAGATGGGATATATGCTGTATAATGCAATTTGTATAGGAGCTATCTGTGTGGCCAGTGTGCACAACTGTGACAGATACTGAAAGATGAGGAAGAACCTTGTCCTGCTCTCATCATTGTAGGACCAAGATGACACACACAGATGGACTACACGTCCACCACTTAAAACAAATAACGTCATTGTATTTTTATAAAATAATGGCTTTTTTATTCCTTGTTTTGTTTTGTTTTTCTAGTCATAGTTTCTTTGTGTAGCCCTGGCCTTCCTGGAACTTGCTATGTAGACCAGGCTGGCTTTGAACTCACAGAGGGCCACCTTCCTCTGCCTTCAAATGCTGGGATTAAAGACCCACTACCTCCTGGATCCTTCATTCTAAAGATACTATTTCAGGAGTAAATAAGATGGGTTATGTCATGCTTAGGACAATGTAGGAATTCTTCAGAATATAACCACAGGAGAGAAAAAGTTGCCACACAGAATTATTTAATTTGAGTATTAAATAAATAACTTATACTCTTTTATTAAATGAGTCACTGTCATTTAAAAAGCATTGTTGTTTTCTGCACTATGCAGAAAAACACTACTAAGCTATTCTGAAAGGATATTAGTGAAAAATTATATATATTAGAATCAATAAGTGGAAAAAAGAGAAATCACAAGAAGCATAACGATGAAAAGAAGCCTGTTTCCATTTCAGCTCTTGGATGGTGACCACTAATATCTGGATTTCAGTTTATCGCTACTGCTCAGGATTTTATCACTGAATATCACTGCTGCTACTGTCTGAAGGCATTGTGTATACTAGGCAACTGTAAAGTGAACTTGATTAATCACAGTTCTTTACTTACTCAGTGTAACAGATTTAAATTGTGGGTTTGGGGGGGCTTGTTTTCGTTTGTCTGATTTTTTTTTTCTTCTTGTTTTGATTTTTGGTTTTTTGAGACATGGTTTCTCTCTGTGTAACCCTGGCTGTCCTAGAACTCATTCTGTAGACCAGGCTAGCCTCAACCTCAGAGATCTGCCTGTCTCTACCTCCAGAGTTTTGGGATTAAAGGCGTGGACCACCATTATTGTATTGAAGACTTTTTCAAAAGAGCCAATAGCTGCTTTCACATATTTTTTTAAAATTTTCTGTTGCTTATTTACCAGCACTGCTTTAACTTTCTCAAGGTAGTTCTCTTAACAGTTTGATCATAGGTGCTGAGTAATGGTAAAAATTTCATCAGTGCACAGAACACTTAAAACTACCTTGTCAGCTCTTCTGTTTTTTTCTGTCTAGTATCTTATTAAGTCATTAAAAAAAAAAACAAAAAAACAAACCAAAGAAATCATTTAATTGTAAAGGACTTTCATTCTTTTTTTTTTTTTTTTTGGAGGAAATTTTTAAAGAAAATAATAAAATTAAGTAGACTTTATTAAGTGACTTAAGAGCTTGAGAGTTCTTTATTTTCCTTTAAAATATTTTTAGTTGATGTATTATAGCTTTATGAATTAGCAGAAATAGAAAGTTCTACCTAAAGAAAGGAGCCATTATATCAAAATTTCACTGATTCCCTCCCCCCCCCCCCAAATTATTCTTTTTTGTTTATTCTGTTTTGTTTGGGTTTGGGTTTTTTGAGACTATGTAGCTCTGATTGTCCTGGAATTCTTGTAGACCAGGGTGGCCTCTGGAAATCACTCTTTAAAAGAAGTACTGGGGATGGAGAATGTAGCTTGGTGATGGAACATTTCTCTAGCAAGCCTGAGACCCTGGGCTTAGACCTTAGCTCCAGAGGAAAGAAAAAAAAATTATTTTAGCTGTGACACAGTGTTACCTTCTAGGAAGGCTGAAGCAGGAAAACCCTATATCCGCAGCTTGTCTAAACTACAGAATGAGTTTGAGGCCAATCTTACAACTTATAGCTAAAATAAATATTAAAAAGTTTGGGAATAGCGCTTGACTAGCATTCTTGAGACCCTAGATTCAATCCTTAGCACTAGAAAAAAAAAATAGTATTTAATTGCTGCATTTTCCTCTCTAATTATTTTTAGTTTTACTTTAAGAATATTTACAAAGGAACCTAGTTCTCTAAAAGTTGTATTAAGTTCCCCAAGTTACCGAAGTCTCAGGTGGAAGCCTTGCCTTAAAATCGTTGTGACAGATGAAAGGGCTGTCCTCTTACTGGGAGATAAGAGGACAGGGGGAGCAGCTGGAAGGACAGCCTACTCCCGCAGACACCATCACAGACAGAAAGGGAGGAAGTGAGGATGCAGTCATGCACAGACTACTGAGCACAGAAGGGCCAGCTCTCTGAAAATGTTTAACAGGAAAAAGTTGGAGGGTTTGTAGCTTATAGGTGCGTGTTTTGTACATATAGACATTTGTTCTTTCCTCGTCTATCTTCTCCCCTCCCCCAGTGAAGTTGTTCGAGGTCATTGAAACGGAAAAAACACTCTACTTAATCATGGAATATGCAAGTGGAGGTAAGCACGTTTATATTGCTTACAGGGTGAGAAAGTATGTGTATGTTTTTCTTTTTTTCTCTTTTAAAAAAACATTGCACAGCCACAGTGCCCGAATGGATAGTCATTAAGGTTTTATTGTAACTGAGATCAGAGTCAAAGATGCTGGCCACATCAGTCCTATGGGTTATAGTGTTTTGAGTATTAGTGTTACTGGTTTTTATTACATTTGTTTATTATGTATATTATGGACACGTGCAACAGCACACATAGAGGTCAGAGGACAACTAGTGGGACTTGGTTCTTTGCTTCCACTATGGTCTTAAACTCAAATGATTCGGCTTGCATGACCCTCTCTGAGCCATCTCTCTGGCTTCATTCACTATTAGCATTACTAACTGATAATATACAGCAACTCTCATTTTTCCATTGTGGCAAATATGTATCACATAAAATTTAGAATTTGAATCTCTCTGTCTCTGTCTATCCTGATAACCTTGAGCTTCTGATCATTTTCCTTCCACCTCCCAGATCCTGGAGTTATAGAAGTGTGCTACCAGCACCCAGTTTTGTTTTGCTTACTTTGGTTTTAACGTGGTTCTGGGGGCTGGAACCTAGGGCTTTCTGAATGCTAAGTAAGCACTCCACCCACACAAGCACATCTAGCCCGGTATTTGCACCCACTTTCAAGTATATAGTTGAATGCCTGTTTTGCTTAGGGTTGTTTGTTTTGTTGTTGTTTGTTTTGTTTTACTTTTGGAGACAGTTTCTTTGTGTAGCCCTGGCTGTCCTAGAACTCACTGTGTAGATCAGGCTAGCCTCAAACTCACCTGTTCCTGCCTCCCCGAGTACTGGGATTAAAGGCATGCCCCATCCATGCCCGGTTTTAGTGAGGGCTTCTATTGGTGTAATAAACACCGCCACCAAAAGTAAGCTGTGGGGAGAAAGGGTTTGTTCAGCTTCCGCTTCCACATGGTAGTGCATCACTGATGAAAGGGCGAGAGCTCACACAGGGCAGGAACCTGGAGGCAGGAGGTGATGTGGAGGCTGTGGAGGAGTGCTGTGCTGGCTTGCTCCTCCTGGCTCACTCAGCTGCTCTCTTATAGAACCCGGAGCATTAGCCCAGGGATGGCCCCTCCCACAATGGGCTGGGCTCCACTATTCTAATCCCCAATTCAAGTTCTCTGCATGCTCTCCTACAGTCAGTCTTACAGAGGCATTTTCTCACTCGAGGTTCTCTTCTCTCAGATGACCCTAGCTTTGTCAAGTTGACATAAAAGTACCTAGCACAGTGACATTAAGTACATTCACATAATTATAAACCCTCACAAAGGGTTTCTCCAGAAATGTTCCTAAACAGAAACTGCATATTTTAAACCTTAACTGTCTCTTTCTCTTTTTCTCTTTTCTAGCCCAACCACCAAACTATTTTATGTTCTGAATTTGTCTAGTTTAGATACCAAATATAATGAACATAGTTGTACTCAGTTGTACAATATTTGTTCATTTGTCTCTGACTTACAATATTTTATTTAATATAATGTCAACATCATCTATACTATGGCATTTCCTTTCTTTTTTAAGGCTAAATAGTAATATGAGAGGGACAGGGAGATTTACGTGTCTACAAGTATTTGAGGTTTTTAATGCATTAATGTTTTTATTTAATCACAAGTATTTGAGGTTTTTGATGCATTAATGTTAGATGTTTTATCAGTTCTTAGTTTTGTTGGTTGTCGTCTTGTTTTTGCTTTGATGATTGAAATCTAGGGTTTAAAAACATGTCAGAACTACATCTCCAATTCTATCAGATTTTAATGCCACTGATGTCTTATCTTTCTCAAAGCCAAAAATGATGGTTTTAGTTCATTGGCTACAAGTAGATGTGTATCGCTTCTGTGGTTCTAAAGCGTCTCCTTGAGGACTGAGGTTGGTGAGATCAGTGTTTGGAGCCACCAGTAAGTCCCACTGTCTGTCGGTGCTTTCCTGGTTGTCTGCTCTTACTCTGCCCCGAGCACCATGCTTGGCACACTGCAGACCCAACAAGTCAGAATTAGAGTTTATTTGTTGTATTAGTTTGCTTTCTGTCTTAAAATAAACACCATGACTAAAAGCAGTTTGGGAGGGTAGAAGGTTTATTTGGCTTCCACACCCTAATCACAGTCCCTCGTTGAGGAATTCAAGTAGGAACGTAGGCAGGATCACAGAGGAATGCTGCTTACTGGCTTGCCTCTGGGTTCCAGTTCAGCTGCCTTTCTTATACTTTCCAGGACCACCTGCCCGGGAATGGCACATCCTACAGTGGGTTGGTCCCCCCACATTAATCAACATTTAAAGAAAGAGACTGCCACGCCGGCACATGCCTATAAGCTATTCTGATGGAGGCATTTCCTTAATTGAAGTTTCCTCCACCCAGGTGACTTTTGCTTATTTCAAATTGACAAAAACTAACCAGCACATTTATTAACTCATCAACTCCTAGAGACATATCCTGTTGCATGCCACAGGATCATAATTCTATCATTAATTCTTTCATCCAAGTTATAAAACTTGGAAGTAGAAGTTAAGTCATAAGCCAGGCTAAGTGGTGCATGCCTGTTAAATCCCAGTGCTCAGGGAGGCAGAGACAGGCAGATCTCTGTGAGTTCAATGCCAACCGGGTCTACAAAGTGAGTCCAGGACAGCCAAGGCTACACAGAGACCTTGTCTCAAGATAGATGCATAGATACATACATAGATTCATAGAAAGATAGATAGATAAATACATAGATAGATATATAGACACATAATTACAGAGATGGGTAGTTGGATAGAATAAAGGAAAGAATGAAAGAGAACGTTAAATCATAGTTTCATTGTTGTGAATTAATCATTAAATCAAAATTGTAAGCTTATTGGGACTGGAGAGATGATTCAGTTGTTAAGAGCATGTGTTCAGTTCCCAGCACACACGTGGAAGTTTGCAACTACCTGTAACTCCAGTTCTGGGGGATCCAACACACTTTTTGGCCTCTTGAGAGCACCATGCTTGTACATGATACACAGACATACATGCAGACAAAACAGCTATATACATAAAACAGTTTTAAATATATTTAAAAGGGGGGCATGCTGAAGAGATGACTCAGTGGTTAAGAGTACTGGCTGTTCTTCTAGAGGACCCAGTTCAGCTCCCAGCTCACAACTCTCTGTAACGCCAATCCCAGAGGGTTCGACACCCTTACATAGACATACGTGCAGGTATAAACACCAATTCACATGAAATGAGAATAAGTTTAAAAAAGAAAAGCAGTTATAAGCTTGTCAGAGGATGGGATGAGTTATAGTGGGTATACCTCCAACACCACTCTTCCGTACTATGAACTCTTTATTATGTAGTTTGTGTTTGTGTGCCTCCTTTTATGGGTGCTGGAAGCTGAACCCAGGTCTTCTGCAAGAGCAGTAGACACACACACAGCGACACACAGAAGTGCATGCCCCTATGCACACTCACATGCACTCTTGGGACCAGAGGCTGAGGATTGCTGGGACGTGCTGAGTGCCAGCCTGGCTTCAGATTCAGTGACAGACCCTATCTCGAGAACAAGATGAAGAGTGATACAGTAGCACACCTGATGTCATTCTCTGCCTTCCTCAAGCACATATATGTGCTTGGACATACAGTACACACACTTTACTTTTTATTATTTTTTAAGATTTACTCACTTATTTATTTTTATGTATATGAGTGCTCTATCTGCAGGTACACAGGCCAGAAGAGGGCGTCAATCTGAGTATAAATGGTTGTGAGCCACCATGTGGTTGCCGGGAATTGAAATCAGGACCTCTGGAAGAGCAGTGTTCTTAAACGCTGAGCCATCTCTACAGCCCCACACTTTAAGAAAAAGAAAATTAAACTAGTCTCTCTTTAAAAGGCATGGTGCCACACTTTTTTTTTTTCCTAACCCCGTCGCTGTTGGCAGTAACAACAGGATTTCTGTGAGTTCAAGCTCAGCCTAGTCTGCATAGTAAATTCCTGGCCACTGAGAGCTAGAGCCACTGCTTTGTCAGTCTGTCATTGGTTTCTGTTTCTGTTTAAGTGCCAGGCCGTAGATGATTATACTTAATTAGAAGCGAGAATAAAATGTATGAGAAACATCCTGGCTTGTTAAAATGAAGATGGGCTTTGGAAAAGACAAATTGTGGGATGAATTCAGTGGCTCTCACTGGCTGTGGTAGTGAGATAATGTCTGAATGGCTGAGTGTCGTAGTGGGTATACTGATGGAGCCCCCAGTGGTATAACTCAGGGTGTTTTACTCTCTTGAATATGCCATGTCTTGTTTAAATCAGCTCAGCAACACACTGTCAGGCTAAGGACATAGGAATGACAAAAGTTTTATTAAATTGGCTCACCACTGCCAAACTTGGTACCTTTTCCATTCCTCCCTCCCTTCCTTTCTTTGTATTTGAAACAGGTTTTCACTGTGTAGTCATTGCTGCCTCAGAACTTGCTCTGTAGATCATCCTGATCTTAAACTCATAGAAACCTACTTGATTCTGCCTCCTGGGTGCTGGAAATAAGGCATGCATATCATGCCCTGGAGTACCTTTTCATTTAGTAGAATCTTAGAAATTACAAAGAAATCCCTAGAAATCATCCATGGCACCTACTTTTTATAGGTAAAATTAAAGCTCAGAAAGGTCATGCCTACTAAGGGTGCCATAGCTAGCTGGGCTCAAGGCCTGAACTAGAATTAAAGGCGTTCTGGTTCCTCATTCAGTCCTTCCGTCCCAGCCATGCTATCCTGACCTTTGCAGGAGTGCCACTCCACATTTTTCACTTAGTAATATGCCTTTAGAGGCTTTAGTCAGCTGCTTAATCAGGGTTAATACATTTTAATAGGAAAATGTTTTCTAGCTTATAAATTGTATTCCTGATTTATAGAACTTAGTTATTGTGAGTGTGCTTAATAGTTGCAGAAATCTCCTAAGAGGTTTGTGTTGCATTGAATTTATAAATGGACTATGATATTGACATTTGCCCCTTGTCTGTGGTCTGGACAACAGTGAGTTGGTTTCATCTACTAATAGTGGTTGTTTTTTTTCTTGTTATGTGTACACGGTTTATGTGCATGTGTGCATGCTGGTATGTACTTGTCACAGAAGATGGGATAGGGTTTCCTCCTCTGTCACTCTGCCTCTCCTGAATCCTAGAACTAGAGTTTTCAGCAAGTCTGTAAGGCAATCAGCTCCAGAGACCCTCTTGACTTTCCATCTCTGGCAGTGGGGTGATAGGCCCCCGGAGGCCACATCCGCCTTGTCCCAAGGATGCAGTAATCCAGCTTCAGGTCTTTTTGGTTGAGTAGCAAGCGCTTTTAACTGCTGAGCCAGGCTTTTGCCCCTAGGTTTTTGTTTGTTTGTTTGGGTTTGGTGTGATGTGGTGGGTTTTTTGTTTGTTTGTTTGTTTGTTTGTTTGTTTAGTATGGCAAGGTCCATGTATCCCAGGCTATCCATGAACTTGCTATATAGCTGTGTGTATGTTACTTTTCTGTTACTGTGTTAAAACACCATGACCAGAACTGCTTCTAGAAGGAAGATTTTATTTAGGCTTATTTCAGAGGGATAAGCATAATTCATGGCGGAGAAACTTAGCAGCAAGGAGCAGTCATAGCAATAGGAGCAGGAAGCTGAGAGGTTCCTTCTTTAACCACTAGCATAAAGCAGAACAAACTAGAAGTAGAGTGAGGTTTTGAGATCTCAAAGCCCACCTCTAGTAAACGTACTTCATTAAGGCCATACCTATGAAACCTCCTCAAACAACTGTGAACCAAGTATTCAAATACCAGAGTGTATGGGAGCTCTCATTTAAATTACTATAGAGCTAAAGAGGACACCGAACTTCCGGTCCTTCTGCTTCTACCATCCTAGGGATGGGATTGGTGCTGGGTACACCACCACACCAAACTCTGGTGGCATCACCTTCATCCTGCCCTAAGCTTCACTGCTCACCACTGCTGTGTACCCCACGTAGCCAGTCATGCTTACACTCTACTTAATTACTGTGTGGATACTACAGTGGGCTTCCCATCCTTTCCCTCAACCTGACTCTTCCCACTCTAGAATTTGGTGGTCTTTTATGAAGTCAATTATATCTTCTTAGTGTCTCACCTCATTTAGAGTCTAGCTGGAGCTTTTTTCAAAACCTGCTGAAGTCTTGTGTCCCTGCCCTGCACTCTACCCATTGCTCACACGTCTCCAATACTTGTGGCAGCCTTACTGCTCCTCCGTGCTATGTATGTACGTATAAATGTATGTATGTAGGATTTCATTATAACGGCTTCAGTGTCCACTCCATTAGATAGTTAGCGGAGTGCAAACTTGTGCCCTACAAACTCTTGTTACTTACTCCTTTTTCTTCACAGCATTCATGGACCTCTGATAAACTCTGTACTTGTGTTCATTGTTTCTTTTATTAGCCAGCAAATTCTATTAAGAAAGAGGCTCTACTGAACTTGCTGCTGAAATTTCCAGAGTTTGAACATTGCCTTCCAGAGCATCAGTGTTGCCTCACAGCTAGTTAATAGTGGTTCAAACATTTGTTAAATAAAATAACACTTTGTGGTAATAATATTACAGGAAGATACGTTTTTTGGGGAGAGATCGGGAGAGAGATAGGGTCTCTCTTTTGGTTGGTCTAGAACTCAGAGAACTGCTGGTCTCTGCTTCCTGTGTGCTGGGGTTAAGGGTATGCATGACCATACCTGGCTTACCTTTCCATCTTGATTGCTCAGTTTCTGTTAAGGCCTTTGGAGAGACAGAAAGCTGCATAACTTAAACGTGTTAGAGTCTTATTATGGTATCTCCTCAGCCTGAGGAGTATCCTTGTGAGCTTAGTTAAGCTTCAGTTATAGCTTAGCAACCATGTTTTACAACTGCTAACTTCATACTTATTTTTAAATTTATTTAAATTTTTAAAATAGGAGCTGGCGAAGTTCGCTTGGTGATTAAGAACACTTAATGATTTTGTAGAGGACCAGGGTTCAGTTCTTAGCACCCACATGGTGACTCAACCATCATTTGTAACTCAAGTTCTAAGGGAGTAAAATACTACTTATCTGTAGGCACCAGACATACATCTAGGCAACACACTCATACACATACATAAATCTAAAAATTTTTTAAATAAAAAAGAACTAGAGCTTTGCTAGTAGTGGAACATTATCAATTTGTGGGGAAAAGTAATGCTAGATATAGGATTTCTGCTTAATTTTATTTCTCTCTATTATAGGTGAAGTATTTGACTATTTGGTTGCCCATGGAAGAATGAAGGAAAAAGAAGCAAGAGCTAAATTTAGACAGGTATGAGTTAACACGTCTTTAATTCAGTAAGTTACATTTTTAATCCTGGTAGTGCAGTAAGAGTGGCATCTGGCGCTGAGGACATGGCTGTCAATAAAGTGCCTGCTGTGCAAGTATAAGGACCTACATTTGAGTCCCCCAGGGCACAGAGAAAGCTGGGCATAGTGATAGGTACCTGTAATCTCAACACTGGGAAAGAGGGGATAGAGAACAGTGAGGGAAGACCCTCAGTGTTGACCTCTGACCTCTGCACAGACACACATGCAGTCAATCAGTAAATAAAGCTGGGAAGCAATTGGTGGAGGACACCTAGTGTTGACCCCTGGGCTCCACACAAACATGCACGCACAGTTTCTCAGAACATTGATTGGCTATTAAAGTTCTTTAAGTACTTTTTAATACCCGAAACACTGTAAGCAGTGAATGTGGATCACATTTGATGGATTTTGTGGGCTTTTAAGATTATACTTATGAGCCAGGCATGGTGGCGCATGCCTTTAATCCCAGCACTCGGGAGTCAGAGGCAGGCAGATCTCTGTGAATTTGAGGCCAGCCTGGTCTCCAGAGTGAGTCCCGGACAGCCAAGGCTACACAAAGAAACCCTGTCTCAAAGAAAAAAAAAGAAGAAGAAGAAACAAAGATAAATGAATGTTGTAATTGTGAGTCTGCACCAATGGTGACTAACCCTACTTTTCTCATCTCCAGATCGTGTCTGCAGTACAGTATTGCCACCAAAAACGGATTGTTCACAGAGACCTCAAGGTGAGTCCAAATTCCCTTGCTAAGTTATATAGTTCTCTTGGTGGACATTTTGCAGATGAAAATTAGATTGTTGTTCAATAAGAAAAAAATTAAGTTCAATAATGATTGACTCCTTTTGACCAAGAGTTTTTTGTTGTTTTAAGTGAAGCTTATAGAAAGTTTTTCAGGTCTCCATAAAGGTACCTAATGGTTCATCTCTGGAAGATAGTCAAACAGACATACCCTAAAACACAGGGCCCTCCTGGACAGTGCTGCCTGTGCCCCTGTCTGTGCCTGTGTAGGAAGGAATTCTGTCTGTAAGCTGTGGTGCCTGTAAACGGCCTCTGTAAACTCTTCCTTTGGAAGAGTTAGGATTCACAGAGCAGTTTTCTTAGAGGCCTTCAGCTTGACTATACCTCCAGTCAGTCCTTCTTCCCTCTTCTTGTTACTGGAACCTGGGTTCCTTTGCTGTCCCTGCCCTGCTTCCAGATCCACCCACTTTCTCCCTGTAACTCACAGCCTGTTAACTTAGTAACTTTATCAGCTCTGCTCATGAGATTACTGTCTACTTGCTTGTCTCTCTCAACACCCACCCTGAGTGCATCCACTCTAACAGCTGCCCACATGTGAATGACCTCCAGTCTATATCTGCAGCTAGTGCAGTTCTAGGACCCAAACATCCTGGCACCTAGGCAGAAAGTATCTTTTGGACACCTGGTATAGCCAGTTCAAAGTCAAAAGTTTTTCTTTATAAACTGGAGTGAGACATTTTCATTATGGTGACTGAGGCTTCTCAAGAGCCTTCAGCTCTAGTCAGTTGCCACTTCTTTTGCTTCTGTTTTCTGTCTCTTCTATTCCATTCCCACGCTCCAGAGCCAGACCGGATAGTTATGTTATAATCAGTTAAAACACAGTCTCTTTTCTTGTCTTCTCTACTCTTTCCCACTCTATCTTTAGTTCCTGTGTGTGGGTATTTTCCCTGCTTGTATGTCTGTGCACCGTGTGTGTGCAGTACCTGCAGAAGCCAGAAGAGGGCATTAGATCCTCTGAAACAGATGGTTTTAGCTTCCAAGTAGGTACTGGGAATCAAACAAACCTGGGTCCTCCAGAAGAGCAGACAGTGTCTCTACCACTAAGCCATCCCCAGCCTTCAGAATGACTTTTTAAAAACACAAAGGCATGTTAACACAAGCTTTCAATCCCCACATTCAGGAGGCAGAGGCAGCTGGATTTCTGTGAGTTTAAGGGTAGCCTGGCCCACATGGAGAGTTCCAGGGTAGCCAGAGCTAAAAGGATGAGACCCTGTGAAAAAAAAAAAAAAAAGGAGAGAGAGAGAGAGAGAGAGAAAGAAAGAAAGAAGACATAAGATTGTCATTTCCTTGTTCAACACCTCTTGGGTGGTTTTCTGTCTCCTTGTAGAACATTGAAGTTCTAAGCACTGCCACGTCCCTAATCATTCTGTGGAGCATCTTCCTCTATACATTGTCTTTGAGTTGATGACAGAAATGTACTCTTCGTGTATATGTCTAGCTCTTTATTCTGCCCCAAACACACCTTGTGACCTTTCTCAGTTTCATTTCCTTTGGGAAGTTGCTGTGACCCTCTTGTGCTGAGCCTGTGGTTTGTGGGTACCTGTCATAGTACTCATAGTACTTGGCAGCCTATTAGCTTCCTGATTTTCCCAGCCTATGTTATGAGCTCCTGAGGGCAGGGCCCTGTCTCGCCCATGCTAATACATCCAGAAGTAGGGTGGTGCTTGGTGTGTAGCAGCTGCTTAGTGCCTGTCAGCTGAAATCAACACAAGTGACTGGTGTGTCTCTGGGGTGAGGTTGGGAGTTCTCCTCACCCAGTAATACCCAATTATGGCCATTTAGTAGTTTTTATCAAATGTGACTACCTAAAACAAATGCCTCTTAGTAATTGAAGAAGGTTTCTAAGTTTCTTGACCTTGAAGTATTTGGGGTTTAAATTTGTCTTATAATTTAATCTGTATTTGATTGTTAATATCAAATTAAGAATTCTAATTTATCTTGTTTTTCTCTAAAAATAGGCTTTTTACATTTACTAAAAAGCCTTTATAAAATGCCTGATACTGTGGCTAAGTTTCATTTTTGTCTTGATGTTTTCTCTCTAGGCTGAAAATCTGTTATTAGATGCGGATATGAACATTAAAATAGCAGATTTTGGTTTTAGCAATGAGTTTACTGTTGGCAGTAAACTAGACACGTTTTGTGGTAGTCCTCCATATGCAGCCCCTGAGCTATTCCAGGGTAAGAAGTATGATGGGCCGGAGGTTGATGTGTGGAGCCTTGGCGTCATTCTGTACACCCTCGTCAGTGGGTCGCTCCCCTTTGATGGCCAGAACCTGAAGGTATGAGCAGCAGTTGCAGCCGTGTGCTTCAGAACTGAGGATCTTTATAAAAGTGCACAGATTGGAGTTTTTCATGTTCTGTTTGTATGGGTGCTTTTACAGGTTTGGTTTTATTGTTACTGTCTTTACTCTAAAGATTAACTGTACTTTCTTTCCTGCATCTCCAAAGGAGCTGAGAGAGAGAGTGCTGCGAGGGAAGTATAGGATCCCCTTCTACATGTCCACAGACTGTGAGAACCTTCTGAAGCGCTTCCTGGTGCTGAACCCAGTGAAACGCGGCACTCTTGAGGTAAGCACGCCAGTGGGGAGGGACAGTATTCGCAGACATTTGTTCACTTTGTTTGACACTGAACACTTGCCTGGGGTCTTGAGTAGTAAGTGAAACAGATCCCCTTTTGTTTCCTTTAGAGTGTTATTCAGTGAAATGTTGAAAATGACATTCCTAAATATTGTGATTGTTGAGATACTTTGTTCCGTGCTGCTAACATACCATTCACCTTTCAGCAAATCATGAAGGACAGGTGGATCAACGCAGGTCATGAGGAAGATGAGCTTAAGCCATTTGTTGAACCAGAACTAGACATCTCAGACCAGAAGAGAATAGGTAATTACTGTGTGTACATGTTTCTGTGTGTATGTGTACTCTGCATGTTTCACTCGTGTGTGTGTGTGTGTGTGTGTGTGTGTGTGTGTGTGTGTGTGTGTGTCGCTCAAACAAAAATGAAGGGAAGGTAAACACAGGATTTGAACATCGGATACCTGTGAGTCTTAGCTGGAAGCTTACTACCTACAGCTTCCTAGAGCAGCCTCAGGAACTGAGAGACACGCTCAGCAGCTCTCACATTAGGGAGTATGTAACCTTCTAAATCAAAGAAAATTGTCTTCCCTGTGCTGACATGATTGCCAACTCCAATAAAATATGTCAATCATATTTTATCTTTTAGATATTATGGTGGGAATGGGATATTCCCAAGAAGAAATTCAAGAATCTCTTAGTAAAATGAAATACGATGAAATTACAGCTACATACTTGTTATTGGGGAGAAAGTCTTCAGAGGTAAGAGTATTTAGAAAGGAAAAGTTAAATACCCTGTATAAAAAGGATCATTTTGCTACTTGTGGTGGCATATGCCTGTATTCCTAGCACTCAGCAAATGGCGACAAGGGAATCAGGAATTTATACCATCTTCAGCTATGTAATGAGTTCAAGGCCAGTTTGTACAAACTGTCTCCTAGAAAAGTTAACTTTAATTTATTTTAAGAAATAAAGATTATTAGTTATATAATTATTTCCTTAAGTTATAAATATAACATTTGGTATTCATTTTAAAACTTTTCTTATAAGCAGTGATTTAGCTTCATTTAGCTTCTGTTCATAACCAACTGTTTTATATTTTTGGTTGTGAGTCTAGCCTTTAGTGGCTGATCCATCTCTCCAGCCCAAAAGCTATTATTTTAACTTCAAGATAATAACCTTTTATGATCAATAAAGTCACAAACGTGTACAATCATAAGTTAACTTTAGTCACTAATAGTTTGAAAATGGTTTAAAATACCCAAAGAAGGGGAAAAGTATAATAGCTTAGTTACTTGAAAAGGTCTAGGAACGAGATCAATTAACGTATTATCCCAGTATTCCCAGGAGTCAGAAAAATTCTTTTGACTGAGTTTATGTAGTTCTTTTGTACATTGTCGTAACTCCTCTCTGACTGAGAGATGTGTGTCATGAGGAGTTTCCTGACAAGCCATTGGGCTCTGTGAATGGTTGCTTCTCTTCTCATTCTCCTGTAGCTGGACGCTAGTGACTCCAGTTCTAGCAGCAACCTTTCACTTGCTAAGGTGAGGCCAAGCAGTGACCTGAGCAACAGCACTGGCCAGTCTCCTCATCACAAAGTACAGAGAACTGTTTCTTCAAGTCAGAAACAGAGGCGTTACAGTGATCATGGTAAGTCTGAGACCACCCCAGTAGTTACCGAATGTGTTGTCTTGTGTAGAGCCTGGTGGGGCAGAGATTGGCTTGCTGTTCCTGTTTGATATTAGGGGCCTGGTATGGTTAAGGTTTGGAACATTTGTAAACTTTCCTGGGTAAGGCTTAGCAGAATGAAAGCCTCATGTGTTAGATACGTGTATCTCTCTCTTAACTCTATCAGGGAACTCAGAGCATTGCAGCTGGCGGAGCTCTCTTACTGATAAAAGTATTCTCTGTTTAGTCAGGGTTGTAACAACTAACCTTAGAAGGCTGTTGCACACTTACATGGAGAAATGACTGTCAGATTTTTCTTTATGTGTATGAGTGTTTTAATTTTGGATGTATATGTGCAGCCCTTGTGCCTGCTGCCCATGGAAGCAGAGAGTGTGTCAGCTCCCCTGGAACTAGAATTGTAGGTGCTTGTGAGCCATATGTGGATACTGGGTCTTCTGCAAGAGCAGACAATACAGACAGTACTCTTAACTGCTGAATCATCTTTTCAGCCTCGAGGTTTTCTTGTTTGTTTGTTTTGGTGTTTTTCAAGACAGGGTTTCTCTGTGCAGCCCTGGCTGTCCTGCAACTCACTCTGTAGACCAGGCTGGCATCAAACTCAGATCCACCTGCCTCTGCCTCCTGAGTCCCAGGGTTAAAGGTGTGCACCACCATCATCCAGGTAGGGTTTTTTATTTTAATTTCAATTAAAGGTGAAAATCTGAATCTAGGCACTTTGATAAATGCCTGTAATACCAGCATTTGGGAGGTAGAGGCAGGAGGATCAAGAATTTAAGGTTGGGGCTAGAGAACTCACTGGTTAAGAACACTTGCTGTTCTTCCAAAGGATCTGTGTTCAGTTCTTAGCAACACAGTTTTCAGTCCTAACATCTATCTGCAATTCCAGTCTAGGGGAGCCACCTCCATCTTCTGGCCATTGTGGACACCAGGCACACATGGACACAGACATACATGCAAGCAGATCAGCTATCTGCATAAAATTGTATTTCTTTTTTAAAGTTCAAAAGAATTTAAGGTCATTCTTGGCTATATATCAAGTTTGAGGTTGGCTTAAGCTGAGACCCATTTACAAAAAGAGGAAGGGCTTGGGAAGGAGGAAAGGAAGACAAAAAAATTTATGTGGGGGTTAAATTCACTCTGTTTGCAGGGTCTGTAGATGAGGAGGTGATGTTGCTCTTGCTCTTCCTGTGTACTCATGTTAGCTAACAAGGGAGAGTTTTCAGGGCCACAGACTGAATGCCAACTGCAGATGCCTACATGCTCCCTTCAGATGGCCAATTTAAAGGGAGTTACTCCTAAATCCTGAAAGAAACCAGTGGAATTTTCTCCTTTATCAAGGGGCTAATCTTAGTAAATTCATTCTTCCTTAAGCACATGGATCTCACCTGGATTTCTAATGACTTTTTCCAAAGATAAAGAGCTTTAGAGATGGAGCCGCACATTTGGACACCCTACATTTTGTCAGTAATGCACGGAGAAGGGAATGCCAGCATGTCTCCCAGCAGCCAGAGCAAATGAGCAAGGCCGACTCCCCCAGTCCAGGAGCTTATCTACTAAATTAGGACTTTTATCCACTCGTAATCTGTTTTCACCAGAGAAAGTTTTGTGTGGCCCCAGGTGTGGAGGTGTATATAGAGCCAAATGTCACTGATAAATCATAAAAGTAATTTATTTTAAAGTACTTATTTTCTGTACATGTAACATTACTTTTTTTTAAAATAAAAGGATTTTGTTTTGTTTTTGTTTTTTAAGACAGGGTTTCTCTGTGTGCCTTGCTGTCCCTGAACTCACGTTGTAGTTCAGGCTGGCCTCAAACTTAACAGAGATCTGCCTGCCTCTGCCTCCCAGAGTGTTGGAGTGCTGGGATTACAGGCTTGTGCTACTGCACCTGATTAAAATGAAGTTTTTTGATGCTGATTTTTTGATAACTCTTCTTGTTTATTTTTACATGGAGAGATCTTTTTTGTTGTTGTTGTTGTTGTTGTTTTTTTCTTCTTTGTTTTATTGAGACAGGGTCTCACTCTATAGTTTATAGGACTCTATAGTCCTCGGTGGCCTGAAACTTGATATATAGAACCCTGCTGGTCTTGAACTTCTAGAGATCTGCTTGCCTCTGCCTTCTGGGTTTTGGGATTAAAGGCCTGTATCACCACACCTGATGAGAATTAAATGTTGACTGAGTTTTTGATACTGCATGACGTAGAACACTAATGTTATTTTTCCAAATTGATTGATATTTTTACTTTTAGCAATCCTTTTGTATTGTAAGAATAGTATTTTATTATCTTTATGGTAATATTGAGGCTACTACTTGATCTGAATGCATAAAGGACTTGTAGGGCTGGAGAGAGTCTACACTTAACTGCTCTTACATATAGGACTACAGTTTGGTTCCCAGCCCCTATGTGTCCTTTTACAGCTGCCTGGAACTCTCTGGTTCCAGGGGATCCAGTGTCCTCCATGGGCTCTTGCAGGCACATGCTGCACATAAACCCACAAAGGCAAACGCAAATACACATAAATGAGTAAATCTTGAAATGCATAGTACAAAGGGGCATTTGTATGTGACCTCTTCCTTAACACGTGCACACATGCCAAGAGGAGAGAAAAGAGTGCTGCCAGGGCGCTCAGTAGGTGAAGATGCTGTTGGCCAGCCTGACAGCATGAGTTTGGTACAAGGGACCCACACAGTGGGACGACAGAAGCTCTCTCTGTAGCTGTCGGCTAACCTGCATACTGTAGCATGTGCACACACAGGAAATAAATGAATGCTTTTTTTTCCCAGTTTTTTAAAGAAAAGAAAATGGGAACTAACTCCAGTGCACGCAACATGAATATATGTCAAGGGAGTGATTTAAGCACAGAGAATAACTCGGGGTCTGGAGAGCACTTGTTCTTGCCCAGGACTGGGATTCAACTCCCAGTCACCCGAATGATAGCTTACAGCTGTCCATAACTTCAGTTGCGGGGATCCCACGCCTTCAGACCTCTACAGATAGCAGGCATCCATGTGAAGTACATGCTTACTTACATTCAGGCAAAATATTCATACACATAAACAAATCTTTAAAAAGAAAGACAATGTTCCAGACCAGCAAAGGTAGAAAGGAATATATTGGTCCATTGAGATGGCTTAGGGGATAAATACCCAAGGGCTGACAGTTCGGCCTCCGTGTGTGTGTGTGTGTGTGTGTGTGTGTGTGTGTGTGTGTGTGTTCACATGTGATTTTAAGATTAGAAAACAAAACCAGCCAGGCAGGGTGTCTCACGCCTGTCATCCCAGCATTTGTGAGGCAGAGAGGCAGGTGGATCTCTGTGAGTTCCAGGCCAAACTAATTTGCAGAGTGAGTTCCAGGACAGCCAAGGCTACACAGAGAAACCCTGTCTCAAACAAACAAACAAACAAACAAACAAACAAACAAAGAATAAATAAGACCAATAACCAAAAGAAAAAGAAAAAAAAACACCAAAACTTCCATCTATATACTATTGATTATAGTTAAACAATATTCTTAAAATGACAGGATAATGGAGATGGTTAGTAATGCTAAGTTAGAGAAGGAGTATTGTTTGATGGGTTCACTGAGCTCATGAGAAAACTGGATCTTCAAGATAAACTGTGCCTTGGCTAGTGATACTCTCAAGAAGCTACATACATGCTGGAGATTGTGGAAGTAAATTACAGAGACACAACAAGTGTAAGTAAAACAGGTAGTCAGAAAGAGGTTGCAGATTTCCTCATTATCTGTCTGCATTTAGAATGTCAAGTCTCGTGTTTAAAGGTTTGTGTTCTCTAAATGGAAGCTTCACAGCACATCACTGTGACCTGGAAGTTTGCAGTGTCAGCTGACCTTATTGGGAAGACAGATGAATGCCAACAGCAGCATCACCCCTGCTTGCTTAATTCTTAGTTTATATGTTAGAATAGAAAGTCTGAGAGCTAACTCAGTGGGTTTTTATGAATAAATTATTTTGAAAGTTTAATTTCCAAAAACAGCTAACATTTAGATTTTTGTCCAGGAAGTAGTTACACACCCTTCTTTTGAAAGATCTGTCTTTTCTATGTGATTGTTGCTGTATTGTTTTTAAGGTATTGCTATAGAGTTTAGACTGTCTTGGAACTTGCTGTCTTTGTGCCTCAACCTCTTTTTTTTATTTTTTATTTTTATTTTTAAATGTACTTATGAGTGTTTTGACTGCTTGTACACCTATATGCCAGAAGAGGGTATCAGACCCCAACATACATGGGAATTAAACTCAGGTCCTCTGGAAGAGCAGACAGTGCTCTTAACCACTGAGCCATCTCTCCAGCCCACCTACCCCGCCTCCCTTTTGTTTGTTTTGTTTTGTTTTTCAGGACAGCCCTGGCTGTCCTGGACTTTGTAGACCAGGCTGGCCTCGAACTCGCGAAGATCCTGCCTCTGCCTCCCAAGTGCTGGGATTAAAGCCATTCAGCACCATAGCACAGTTCTGGTGGTTTGTTTGTTTTAAATTTTAGCCGGCATTGTATCTAGTAATGATAGGAGGTCTGTGTTCATTTTCAGCTCTATGAACTCTGTATCTCCTGTGTTAAGACTGGGCCCTCTGGGTGTTAACTGTAGACCAGTTAACCATCTACCAGGATCCTCCTTGGATGTGCTCTCCTAAAACATGGCTATGACCACCTCCTCTCTAACACTTCCTGAAAGAACATGTTTCCCTCTGCTTCTGCTGCCTTCTTTTATTCACTTATTTTCTTGCTTAGCTAGAAGATTAGTGCCTTTTTCAAATTGCATATAAATTTCCAAAAAGAAATGGCACATGAAAGTTATGCTGTCTTACTCCCACAAAATAAGAATACCTCATTCATAAAGAATGTAATCTGCTTGATTGTACCAGAATAGTTTGTTCTGTGTGCTGCCTGTACATCTACTTAATTAGTGATCTTATAGACAATGGCACTAAGTTGTTTCAAAAGGACCACTCAACTTGCTAATTTCTCACAAACATTTTAAAATGGATAATAAGCTAATGGAGACGTCTTAGGGAATTTTACCAGTTTACAGTTATACATGAATAAAAAGTTATGATATTAACATTTTTAATTTTCACAGAATAAAATATGAATTGCATTCTGTCTTTTAAAGAGTGAACTCTTTATTGTAGCTGGACCAGCTATTCCTTCAGTTGTGGCATATCCAAAGAGGAGTCAGACCAGCACCGCAGATAGTGACCTCAAAGAAGATGGAATTACCTCCCGAAAATCAGGCGGCAGTGCTGTAGGAGGAAAGGGGATTGCTCCTGCCAGTCCTATGCTTGGGAATGCAAGCAATCCCAATAAAGCGGATATTCCCGAGCGCAAGAAAAGCCCTGCTGTTCCCAGTGTAAGTACTCGTGGATAGGACAGCAGTCCTGCGTGTTTGGGGCTTGAGCCAGCCTCACTTTGCATCCATCCATTTCGCTCTGTATTCTCTGCCTGCAGAACATTTCTTCCAGACTACCAGGCCATTTCCTGCATTGTAGGTATTTCTTTTGATAATTCCTGTTTTTACTAGTTCATTTCTGCTGCTATAACAGAGTACCTCAGACATAGTTATAAGGGACAGAAATGTATCTCTTGAGTTCTAGCAGCTGGAATGTCTAAGATCAAGGCACAGCAGGTTCATTGTCTTTTCTGTTTCCAGGATAGTATTCTGCTGCCATGCGCTGCAGAGGTTAGGGCATAGTATCTTCACATAGTAGAAAGGGTGGCTTGCCCCCCAATCCAAGCACCAATGACCACCTAGAAGCCCCATTTTAGGTCCTTTGTGTCAGAGATTCTGTGCACTTACTGTGTGAGAGCTGGGTCAGCACTGACACAGTGACAGAGACAGTCACAGTGGCAGTGGAGACAGCAGACTCTCTGACCTCCAGGGAGAGTGTTTTCACTGCGGCCTTTCTGGTACCAAACACTGTGTACCAGCTGAACCACAGGTGAAGGAAGCAAAACAAAGTTACATCATTGGTATGCTAAAATTATATAGCACTAAGTCCTTAACTTTAATACGGTTCCCTCAGTAAATAGTCTCTCTCTGTTAGACTGAGTTGAATCCATTTAGTTCCAGGCACCCTTTTCCCCATGAGTGGAAATGGTTTTATCTGATACCATGGTAATTACTATTAGCACTTACAGAAGTAATGTTGGCCAAAATTTGCAGAGCAGTGAACAGTCTTGGGGTTATCTGTAAGCATTGTTTCCCTCGCAACGCTGACAGGAGTGTGGCCCTTCTACCCACAGAAAAACCCAGGGAGGAATCCTTCATTATGTTCTGGGGTCAGAGGCTCACAAGGGGATCCAAGGGGTTCTGTTAGCTTCATTCTCTGGCATTGTGCCTAATCAGAATAAAACATTTAAAATACGTGTGTTTTGGCTTCAGAATACTTTATAAAGTGGAATTGTAGCTTTGCACGTTCATTTCAGTCTCTTGATTTTAAATTCAATTTCTCACTTTTGAGGACAGTAGTTATGGAATGTTCTTTTCCACCTTGTGACTTCTCACGCTATTACTCTTAATCTACATGTTAAAACTATTTCTTGAGTATACCCAGTATTTACCTATTTATGAAGAATAAGTAACAGTAATATTTTATTGCCTTGTTCTGGGGCAATTAACTTAAAAAGTGCTAGTTCCAGTCCAAAGTGGATTAGCTTTATGTCCTCATCCATAGGGCTGTGAAGGCAACCCATTCATGGAGCATGTGAAAGAATAAACCATTTACTTTGTGAGGTGGGAAGCAAGTGACTAGATGGGCCAGAGTCTAAACACAGTCTACATGGACATGCCCTGGTGACTTTAGAACCTCTCACAAGGAAGGTTCTGCCTCCTAAATATCCTTTTACTGTCCAAGAGCCCCACATTAGGGACTTAGCCTTTACTAGATGGGCTTTTGAGGGGCATTCATCCGACATGTAGTAGCAACATCAAAAATTTTCTCCCAGTCGTTCTTTTTTATTTTTTTTAAGATTTATTTATTTTATGTATATGAGTGTTCTATCTGCATTTATATCTGTCAGAAGAAGGAATTAGTTCACGTTATAGATGGTGGTGAGCCACCATGTGGTTGCCAGGAATTAAACTCAGCACCTTTGGAAGAGCAGACAGTGCTCTTAACTGCTGAGCCATCTCTCCAGCCCCCCAGTCATTCTTAAAGTTTTATTGTATGTGATCCACTCATGATATAGTAAAGCTTTATCGTCACTTAAAAATTCTGTGATTGGGCTGAAGATCTAGAGGACCCAGGTTGATTCCTGGCACCCATATGGCAACTCACAACCACCTACAAATCCAGTTCTAGACTTCTAGGGCCCTGCATGCACAGGATGCACAGACATCCATGTAGGCAAACCACCTTGCTACTTTTTCAGAGGACCTGGGTTTAGTTGTCAACCCTCTCCCATGGCAGCTGACAACTGTCTCTAACTCTGGAGAGTTCGACAGGCACCAGCCATGCGTGCAGCAAACATTCAAACAAATAAAAATAAATCTTTTTCAGAGGCAGGCAGATCTCTGTAAGTTTGAGGTCAGCCTGGTCTATAAAGCGAGTTGAGGACAGCCAAGGCTACACAAAGAAACCTTGTCTAAAGATCAATTGATCAATCAATCTTTTTGCTTGGTGGTGGTGCGTGCCTTTAATACCAGCATTTGGGAGGCAGAAGCAGGCAGGTCTCTGAGTTTGAGGTTAGCCTGGTCTACAGAGTGAGTTCTGGGACAGCCTGGGCTACACAGAGAAATCCTACCTCAAAAAAAAAAAAAAAAAAAAAAGAGAATTATTTGTTTACTTGCTTTGTAGACCTAGCTGGCCTCAAACTCAGGGATCTGCCTGCCTCTGCCTCCCAAATGATGGGATTAAAGGCATGTTGCCACCACCCCTGGCCATGATTGTAGTTTTGTATTAAATTTTGAAATCAGAAGAGCGAATCTTGTAGGTTTGTCCTATGCTCCCCATTTATTCCCAGGCTCACTAAATTCATTTGAGTCTTATTTACCATATAATTCTTAGGAATTTTACTTTGCTGTGTGGTGCCAAGCTTGGAGGCAGACAGAGGCTTTTAATCCCAGCACTAGGAAGACAGAAGCAGGTGGAGCCCTGAGAGTTTGAGACCAGCCTGGTCTGCATAGCCAGTTCCAGGCCAGCAAGAACAACACAGTGAAACCCTGTCTCAAAACAAACAAAAGTCTCACAATATGAATGTATGTTTTTTAAATGTTGTGATTAATGTTGGAGGTGAAGCTCAGCTGTTAGAGTATTTACACAGCATGGAAGAGGCACCACATAAACTGGGGGGTGTGGTAGGTACCCATAGTCACAGTACTTGGAAGGTAGAAGCTCAAGATGCAGGGATTAGAGAAACAGATGAGTAGTTAAGAGCCTTCTGTTCTTGTGGAGGACCAGAGTTTGGTTCCAGCACCTACATCAGGTGGATCCCCACCTGGTCTGTAACTCTGGGTCCCTGTGTCAGATGCCTCTGACAGGGCAGGCCCTTGTATCCATATGTAGACACAATCAAAAAATAAAGTAAAGTGGCCTAGAGAGATGCTCAGAGTTAGAGTACTTGCTGTATCTCTTCCAGAAGACGTGGGTTCAGGTCCCAACACACAGATGGTAGCTCAAAGCTATCTGTCTGTGAGTCTAGTTCCGAGGGATCCAACAGCCTCTCTGATCACCACAGACACTGTGTGCACATGGTGCCTAGACGTACATGTAGGCAAAAATCCATATGTATAAAATAACAAGCCTCAAGAAATAAAGAAAATTCGGGCCATGTGGTGGTGGGCACACACCTTTAATCCCCATTTGGGAGTCAGAGACAGGCGGATCTCTGTGAGTTGGAGGCCAGCCTGGTTAACAAACAAGTCCAGAACAGCCAGGACCCTTTTACACAGAGAAACTCTGTCTTGTAAAACAAACAAGCAAAAAAAGTTGCCTCCTGACCTCCATTTGTGCTTCTTAGCATGCAGGCACCTGTACTATACACACCACATCCATGTATACAAATAATAGTAATATAGATCTTTTTTTTTTCCGCTTTTTTGAGACATGGTATCTCTGTGTAGCCCTGGCTGTCTTGGAACTCACTCTGTAGGCCAGGCTAGCCTCAAACTCAGAGATCCACTCACCTCTGCCTGAGTACTGGGATTAAAGGTGTACACTACCACTGCCCAAAAATATAAAGTTAAATTAAAAAAAAAATTCTCTGATTGAGCTCATTTGTTAGAGCAATTCCCTAATGTGTGTGTGCTGGGGTCCTGGTTTCAATGTTTTGTTTTGTTTACTTTTCTTTTAATTTAAACAAATTTACTTTTATTTTATGTGCATTAGTGTTCTGCCTATATGTATATCTGTGTGAGGGAGTCAGATCTTGGAGTTACAGACAGTTGTGAGCTGCCATGTGGGTGCTGGCATTTGAATCTGTGTTGTCTGGAACCGCAGACAGTGCTTTAACCACCGAGCCGTCTCTCCAGTTCCCCTGGTTTCAGTTTTTAACACCACCAAAAATAAGTAAATAAAGATGTTACATGATATAAATCTTTCACTATACCTTTCAGTCCTTGTTTTTTTTTTTTTTTCATTATTTACAAAGTTAAATTAACAAAATCCACATGACATATAATTAGCCATTTTAAAGTGTGCAGCTGGTGTGTACAATCGTGTTAAGAACTTGCTTTTTTTTTTTTTTTTTTTTTTTCTCGTTTGTTTGGATTCACTTGATTTGTTTGTTTGAAACATGGTCTCTGTGGCTTAGGCCAACCTCAGCCTCCTAATCATTCCAATTACAGGCATGAGCTATTACCCAGCTTAGTTGGAGAACTTTTCAACAGCACAGAAGAATACCCTAAAACTTTGCTATTTTATTTTATTTTTTTATATTTGTGTTTTGCTTCCATTTATGCCTGTGTGAGGGTGTCAGATTTCTTAGAACTAGAGTTACAGACAGTACTGCCATGTGGATGCTGGAATTTGAACCTGGGTCCTTTGGAAGAGTAGCCAGTGCTCTTAACCAACTGAGCCACTGACCCTGTAACTTTGATGACTCATCATTTTCTCCTTTCGGCATCTACCAGGCTGTTTGCTGCCTCCTTTGGTGACTCCACATGAGTGGAGCACACTGTGCGCTCACACCTTTGTGTTGGGCTTTTGAATTCATTGTAATGTTTTGAGGGTTCATTCAAGTTGTAGTGTGTAACATTTCATTCCTTTTTAAAGCTTGAGTGTTATTCCATTGTGAATACAGGCCACAATTTATTTTGATCATCTGTTGATGGACATTTAGATTATTTCTGTTTTTTATACATAAAGGATAACATTGTAAACATTTGTATAAAATGTCTGTATGGACTAGAGTTTTCTGTGTGCATGTGTTACAGTGTGTGCGTGCATATGGACATGTCTGTGTAGGCAAGTATGAAGAACAAAGGTTGTCAATGGAAATTATTCTGTCAGTTGCTTTCTACCTTTATTTTCACTGTGTTCTGGCTGTGCTTTGGGTTTACAGCTTCTGCCATTAGATTTTAACCGTGTTAGTTTTTGAGAAGGGTCTCTGAACCTGAGGTTCACTGATTAGGTCAGATAGGCTGCCCAGTGCTTCAATATACCTGTCTCTGCCACACAGCACTGGCGGTACAAGTACATCCTACTACACCAGACTTCTGGTTTTCTTTTGAACGTGGATTCTGAGCATCTGGCCTCACTTTATCCTCTGAATATATTTTTGAATTTTATTCTTTGCGGGGGAGAGACCCCTGTGCCACAAGCACACATGTGGAAGTCAGAGTACAACTGACTTTGTGGAGTTGATTCTTTCCTTTCATCTCTATGTGAGTGTCTTAGTTAGGGTTTCTATTGCTGTGATAAAGCACTGATAAAAAGTGGCTTGGGCGAAGGATGGGGTTTATTTCATCTTATAACTTCCAGCTTATCACAGAGGGAAGTTAGGGCAGGAACTAAAGCAAAGGTCGCTGACTGCTGTGCTCATTTCACTTTCTTATCCAACACAGGACCACTTGGCTCATGTTGGTGCGCCCACTGTGAGCCAGGCCCTCTTGTATCAATCAGTCGAGAAAATGTCACTCGAGACTTGCCTGCAGGACTATCTGATATAGGCAGTTCCTCAGCTGAAAGTTCTACCCTGCCAGATACTCTACCCTGTGTTAGACCTACAAAACAACCCATACAGTGAGTTTAGGGGCTTGAACTTAGGACCCCAGACTTCTTGAGCAAACAGCTTTACTCACTAAGCCATTATACTCACTCATTTTGTTGTTTGCTTAATTACATTTTATTATTTGTGGATAAGGGACATCTTAAAGTGTTAATGTTATTTTTATAAAATTGTGTTTCTCAGTTTCTCTTTCTCTATTATATTTATTTATAATGTATACAGTATTCTGCCGCATGTATGTCTGCAGGCCAGAAGAGGGCACCAGATTTCATTATGTATGATTATGAGCCACCATGTGGTTGCTGGGAATTAAACCCAGGACCTCTGGAAGAGCAGCCAGTGCTCTTAACCTCTGAGCCATCTCTCCAGTTAACCCAACTATCAACAAAATAATTGAAATTCTATTATTTACTTTTTATGAAGCTTCACAGCACAACAACTGAGCAGTAATTATTCTTAACCCTCTATGCTAATCTGGCTTCTTCACAGTTTAAATCCCAGAGATAGTTACACTTTGTGGCTTTCCATTTCAGTTGCTCTCTGTTCTCTGCTGGAACTCTGCCAGTAGCTGAATCCCCTACTTCTTCCTCTAACTCCCCTTCAAGTCCAGCCCTGTTCTCCTCCTAAGTGACTGTCTGTAAACTGCTTTTTTAGCATATCAGAGGACAACTGGGGAGCAGTGTTTATACAACAATGAAACAGGAGATTCTCCGGACAGGGATTGCAAACAGATAGGGGTGGGCTACGGAAATCAGCATTTGAATTACACAATAACTTTATGCCTACATCATAGTAGTATGCCTGTTAGTGGTCAGAGGACAACTTTGTGAAGTTGTTTGTTTTTCTCTATCATGTGAGTTCTAGAGATTAAACCAAAGCATGTAGTCCAGGATAGCCTTGAACTCAAAACAGACTCATGCCTCAGCCTCGAGAGCTGGAATCATAGTTGTGACACTATGGTTAGTTTTTAGGTTTTTGTTTCTTTTGGGAACATGGCTAGGGATAAAATTGCTGGGTTGTATTGTAATTATAGTTTTAACTTTGAGGACTGCCAAACTTTTGTTTTAGCAATAAGGGTTTCTGTCACCCTTCTTCCTCGACAGCACTTCTGTGTCTGTAGTGTATGGCATGTGTGTGGGTGTTTGTGGGCTCACACAAGTCTGCTTGTAGAGGCTAGAGGTTATTATATAGTTGCCTTCTTCAGTTGTGCGCCATGTTATTTTTTTTAAGATTTCTTTATATATTTATGTGACATTCTGCCTATATATGTGCCTGCACACCAGAAGAAAGCACCAGATCTCACTATAGATGGTTATGAGCCGCCATATGGTTGCTGGGAATTGAACTCATGACCTTTGGAAGAACAGCCAGCGTTCTTAACCTCTAGCTCCATCTTATTTTTTTGAGACAGGCTCTCTCACTAAACCAAATTTGCTGATTGATCGTAATTGGTTAGCCTGCTAGTCCCGGGGATCTACTTGCCTCCATGCCCATTATTGAGGTTACACATGCACACTGCCATGCCTGAATTTTCCGTGACATGTTCACATCTGAACTCAGGTCCTTCTTAGCAAGTGCTTTGCTCTGAAAATTCTTCATATTTCCATTTATTGTAGTCATTTTTAGTAGGTTAGAAGTAATACCTCGAGGGACATAGGAGGAGAAGAGGGAGGGGGCCACAGCCAGGATACAAAGTGAATAAATTGTAATAAATAATAAATAAAAAATTTAAAAATTGTGTTCCTACAATATCAGAGAAATAAATGTATTAAAACCATTTTAAAAAAGAAGTTTAGATTTACTTAATGATCAGCAGTATTGAGCATCTTCTCATGTGCTTTTTTTGGTGATTTGTATAACTTGTTTTGGAGAATTATCTTTTCAAATTGCCAGTTTTTAAAAACTTCTGTTACATTTAAGTTGTATTAGAATGTACACATGCCCATCGTAGTTGTGTAGATTTGCTTCTTGTTTATTAGTATGTGTGTTCTAGGAATCAAACATAATACCAACTAAGCCATCTTGTTGGCCTTCAGTTTGCCCTATTTTAAGTTTTCATTCTGGGATTATGTTGTGAGGGTTCTTTGTATATTCCGAATGCTATACACTAATCAGACATTTTGGAAGAATTTCCTGTCCTTGTGTGTATTCTCTATTTATTTCCTTTTACAATATTCTTGTATGAGTGTTTTGCTTACATATGCACCTAACCCTGTGTGCAACAGTCATTCATGGTGCCTGTAGAGGCCTAAAGAGCATCAGATTGCTGGGACTGGATCTCCAGGTGGATTGTGAGCTGCCATGTGGATGCTGGAAATTGAACTCAGCTCTTCAGTGCATACTTTTATCTGCTGAGCTATCCTTTTGTCTTTTAAGACAAGGACTTGCTTGCTGTGTAACCCAGACTGTCTGGCCTCAAGCTCAGGATCCTCCTGCCTCAGCCTACCAAATGATAGGATTACTAGATTTATTTAGAGACTGTTTTTCAAAAGGGACTGAAGTGATGACTCTGTGGTTAAGAGTGTTTTCTGTTGTTGCAGAGGACCAGAATTTAGTTCCCAGGCAGCTCACAGGTACCAGTAACTTCAGAGGACCAGTGCCCTCTTCTGGCTTCCTCAACCGTACACATGCTGTGTTCATGTACAAACAGATACATACACTATTTATACTTACTTGTTTGTTTATTTATGAAGATGTTGCTCTGGGGAAATGAGTTAATGGATAAAATGCTCTGGTACCCAAGTGTGAGTACCAGAGTTCAGAACCCCCGTTCCCCCATAAAAAAACCAGATGGTTGTGGCCACTTGTCTGTAATCTCAGTGCTCTAAAGGCAGAGATAAGATGTCACTGGACAAGCTGGCTAAATAGTCTGGCCTTAGTCTGCGAGCTCTGAGTTCAGGCACACTCAGTTACAGAGAGTCATCCAGAAAGACATTAACCGCAAACACATTGACAACATCCCCCTTCTAATTCTTTTGGTTGCATAAACTGTGTAAGGTTTCGGGTTTGTTTTTTTGGTTTGGTTTAGTTTTTTTCTTGCTGAGTTACACTTACCAACTAGTTCAAGATAAAAAAAATGGCCTTTTCTTACAGAGTAATGCAGCATCTGGCGGAATGACACGGCGAAACACTTATGTTTGCAGCGAGAGATCTGCAACGGATAGACACTCAGTGATTCAAAATGGCAAAGAAAACAGGTAGGAAATTTCACCTATTGGCAAAAAGATATTTTCTCATAAAAGGAGTGGAAGAAAATGTTTACGTCTCACTTGTTGTTTACATCTCACTTTTATAATCAAAATTCAAATGGCTATCAACTATTCTTTAAAGGTAAGTAAACTTTAAATGCTAATTTCTAGCAAGATATTAGGATTCTAGATTATTCTCTTGTCCAGAGCATTCACCCCAGAATTCACAAATTCTGACAAGGAAGAGTTAGGGTTGAATGAGGGAGGTTTTAGAAAAACTGATAGTGTGCTATGGTTTCTTGACAATGGTGAATAGGGGAATGGAGGAAATTTTGTGTGTTCATCTTTTGAACAAGGTCTGGGTTGCGGCTTGGGTGTAGTGCATTTATAGTGTACATGGTTCCATTTCCAGGTCTGCAATGACAATAATAAGAAGTTAAAAGAGAATGAAAGGGGAGAATGTAGGAGCCTGAGGCTAGGAGCCACACGTGGGGATAAGAGCCCTAAGTCTGGAGGTGAGAGTGCAGTAACAGGCCCGCAGTCTGCCACCAGGTGCAGATAGCCAGGAGCATAGTCTGCACATCGAAGAAATGTGCTTGAGGCTCTAGGAGCACAGAGGCCATCTTCTGCAAGGCTTCAGACACTAATGAGATCAGGTGTCCATTAAGTATAGGGTAAACTAATTTCTAAGTGAGGAGATGAAAGTCAGAAAGTATCTCAGAGAACTCCAAGAAATGAGTTCACATTAACTTTTGTTGACCTCTGGGATGCACCTTGACTACTATCTGGCCATATTTAGCATCGTTTATGCACACACACTCAAGTGTGTGTTACAGGGTTTTTGGAACAGGCATATATGTTTGTTATGTGTGAAACCCTGAGGTTCAGTCATCAACAGCAGAAAAGGTGCTAAGTGTTGGGTTGGGGTGATCATTTTTCTTTTACTTAAGGTTTGAAACTTCTAATCCTCCTGCCTCTACTCTCAAGCACTGGGATTACAAATGTGTGCTCCCACACTTGTGACATTGATTTGTTTTGTTGAGTTGGAGGTTTCTATCTGTTTGATCCCATTAGTTAGATAATATATGTGACTGTTGACCTCTCTGACTGCTTGAGAAAGATCCATATTAGGTAGTTTTCTTATTGATAGGACAAAATACCTCAACAGAAACTTGGAAAGAACTGTAAGCATATTTGGGCTTATAGCTCCAGGGCATAGTCCATCATGTTGGGAAGTCATGGCTGCAGGAACTCGAAGCTCACCTTACACCAAAGTCAGGACACAGAGAAAGATGAATGCTTGTGCTCAGCTTGCTTCTTTTTTCTTTTTTCTTTTCATGCAGTCCAGGATCCCAGCCTTGGAAGTGGAGTCTCCTGTAGTTAAAATGGTTCTTCCCAACTCAGCTAACCAAATCTAGATAGTCCTTCACAGGTGTGCCTAGAGGCTTGTCTCCTAAGTGATTCTAGATCCTGTCACGTTACCCATTATGCCCCATTATTAAAGCCTTCTATAGGCTACTGGCACAGTTGGTCAGCTAAGCTTATCATGGAAGATTATGTTTATCTTTGTAAAAAATATTTTCTGGTGTCTTTCCTTTTTTTTTTTTTTTTTAATTCCTGGTTCTTTCTGGAGATTTTTTATTTTTCTATGTAGAAGGTAGTTTTGTGTTTATGTTTTTGTTTTGTTTTTTTCATCGTTCTTCTTTGAAGGGTCTACAACCTGGAACTCATTGTGTAGATAGTGGTCCTTGAATTTAGATCAATCTCTTTGCCCTTAGAGTACTGAGATAAAGTACTTTAAGGGAGAAAGGGTTTTTTAACTTCACAAAGTCATGCTACAAGCCGTCCTTTCTGGGCAGTCAGGGCAGAATTTGCAACAGCTGCTCCCATCCGCAGGCAGGAGCGAAGAGATGCATGAGGCAGCATGCACTCAGCCCACGTCTCTACCCAGGGGTCACAACCACAGTGGCTGGCTTTCCCACATCAGTTAACACAGTAAAACAGTTTTCCACAGTCATGCCATTAGGCCTGACGTAAACAGACCCTTGGCGAGTCTTCCGAGTTCAGTGTATGTGTGCTGCATATGTGCCATGTGACTAAAGGTCAGAGAACAGCTTTCAGAAATTGGCCTTTCTCCTTCCCCCACCTAGGTCTAGGGGATGGAACTCATGTCATCAGGTTTGACAGCAAGTGCCCTTGGCCATTTTGCCAGCCTTTCTCTTTTCTTTTTGTTTGTTTTTATTTTTTGAGACAGTTTCTTCGTGTAGCCTTGGCTGTCCTGAAACTCACAGAGAGCCACCTGCCTCTGCCTCTGCTGGCATTAAAGGTGTGCACCACCACACCCAGTATCCACTCCTTATTTCTTGATAGTTGTTTATTTTTGGTAGATTTTCTTTTGTCATTTTGCATTCTCAACTCTTCAAATGTATTTTAGATTACAAGTGACTTAATAGAAGAGATCTGTAAAGGCCTAGAATTTCCACAGGAAATTCTGCAGGACTCAAAAGCTGTTGTTTCATGGTGCTTGTTTTGTTTTTGAAGAGTTTCTTGGTTGTTGAACTGACAGTCCCTTTAGGACTTTAAAGTGTGGTGGATACCATTCTCTGTGCTGGGTCCTGAGCCACATAAAAAGGAGAAACCGTATTGAGCACAAGCCCTCAGGCAGACCTTTTACAGGAGTTTGGGTCTAGAGCATCCATCTGTTTTTATGACGGTCTGCATCTTTGCAATCATTTTCTTTCTGTATTCTACTGAAGATATCCTCTTTCTTGGGGTTGATTCCTCTGTATCCTACCAGGGCCTGTTTGCTCCTCTCAGCAGCACTCATTGAAGATACTGCAGTCAGCCTAGGGGATGACTTAGTAAATATGAGCAGTTGCTCTGTAAGCATGAGAGACAAGAGCTTGAATTTTCAGCACCTATGTAAAAAAGGCAAGCATGGCTGTGCGTGCCTCTAACTTCAGCACTATGGGATGTAGACGGGTAGATCTCAGCCCACAAAGCCAGTCAGCCGAGCCAAAATGGTGAGCTTCTGGTTCAGTAAGAGACCTTGTCTCAAGGCAGTAAAAGGTAGAGTGTGATAGAGAAACCGACAGACAGGAGCATAAAGAGGAGGACAGCTACAGACAGATGCTTTCCCTTTTTTTGTTTCTTTGTTTGGGGGTTTTGTTATTGTGTGTTTGTTTTGGGGGGTTCAAGAAAGGGTTTCTCTGTGTAGCCCTGGCCATCCTGGAACTCATTCTAGACCAGGCTGGCTTTGACCTTAGAGATCTGCAGTTATGATGCTAATTGAAAAATGCCACACACTCAACAGATCCAAATATGAAGAGATTTATTTGGGGAAAGGAAGAAGAGTTTGGGAAAAGCGAGGGGGATGGTAAGGGACCCCTGGGAGAGAAAACAAGGCAAAGAGAGTGTGGGTGGGAATGGCAGACGAGTTATATCTGGAGGACCAGGCCTAGATGATGACATAAAACACAGATGGTGACATAGGACTTCATCAGGACCCTAAAGGCCCCTGAGGGCAGGCCAGTTGAATTGCCTGTGCAACAACATGGCATCCCTCCATTTATGTTGAATTAAAAAAAAAAATGAGGAGCCAGGGAGGGGTGGCGAGGCAGGAATGAAGACATTGGGCTGCTTCTCATGCAAGGCAAGTCAAAGTATATAAATGTAGGTTCATTGGAAGCAGCTCTTGGCTGTCATGCAAGGAGGAGGGCTCGGGGAGACAGAAGACAGAGACAGAGAGGGAAGAGCACCAAAATGTCCGGATTACATGGTGAGGAGGAGGGGAAGCCCCTGTCCAGGAAAGGTTAGGATAGAGGCTAGGGTTTGCCAGCCATGCCCAGCAGCAGATAGGGACTGAGGAATGCTGGGAGAACCTGGAGCTGGTTGTTCTGGATCTGTAGCACACCACTGCCAGCCTTTTCCTTCCTGGGGACTAGAAGCTCCACCACCAGTGCCAGGCAAATGCTCTCCTTTGTGAAGATGTTATCTTTATCTTTAGCGGAAGTCTCAATACCATACCCTGCAAGATGGAACTTCAGGAGTTTTTTGTTTGTTGGTTGGTTGGTTTGTTTGTTTGAGAGCATTTTAGGGTTGATCTCTCCTCTTTTCCAGATTGGCCTAAACTGTTGTATCTACATTTGCTTTTTCTTTTTCTCCATAGAAGAGTTTTGCAGACCCAGTTGTATTCTAGCATGAATTCTGGAGTGATAGCACCTAGCCATTTTGTCAGTAAGAGATTATTTCTATGAGCTACCGCCTAAGGAGCCACATTACTTAATAAGCTAATAACCTGTTTTGTTTCAGGTGTTTTGTTTTTGTTTTTTCAAATATTATTTATTATTTGTACAGCATTCTGCTTGCACTTGTGCCTGCACACCAGAAGAGGGCACCAGTTCTCACTATAGATGGTTATGAGTCACCATGTGGTTGGGAATTGAACTCAGGACCTCTGGCAGAGCAGCCAATGTTCTTAACATCTGAGCCATCTTTCCAGCCCCCGTTACATTTTTATAGAATTTAACCAAGAGTTTCCAGAAAGCAGCTTGAATAGCAGAGCCAAATCCTTGGTAGTGATAAACATGTAAGAACACGCCTAATGATGCAGTCAGAACTAGGAACTGAATTGCTCTGTCAGTTTATTTATATGAAAGTTCAGCATCCATTTCAGCATTACTTAGACGATCAAGAGAGAGAGAACATCCTCTCTCTATAGATAATGAATGACTAATAGCTCTGGAAATTTAAACATTGGCTTGGTGCTTTATGTCCTGGTTGTAATTGTTTTTGTATTAGAAGTTTGGCTTGTTTTGAAATTTTTTTTCCCCTGTGAATGGACTGTTGATACTTAGTTGTTCTTGTTGTTGGGGGGGGGGGACATTTAAACAAAAATCAAGGAAACAAACAAGAAAATCCTAAATTCTGTGCTAGCTCATGCTGCAACAGAGCCCCGCCTCTCATTCTTTGGAATTCAGGCGATGTCTCTGCTGGCAGGCCCTTAACAGAAAGAGCTTACCTGCAGCTCACAGCCAGAGAGCTCTGTGTTCCAGGTGCCATTATTTTTTTTTTTTCCCCTCTCCAGGGAAGAGCCTTTTCATTTCTCTATTTCTACTGGGAAGAGGCATTTTTCTCTTTTCTCTTTTGTTTCTGGAGCCCTTCTGTTTGTAGACCTTGATTAAACATATTCCCTTCTTCTACTGGGAAAATCTTTTTTTTTTTTTCTTTTACAATTCTTCGTCTCTGGAGCTTTTTTATTTGCCTCTGTACCAGTTGTACAATCACTGCTCCTGAGATGGGGAATTCTCATATCCTGCCGAATCCTGGAGTCTTGAGTATCTTGTGAGCCTATTCTATCCCAAGTCCTGGAGTGTCTGAACCCCCGACACTATAGGATGAATTTAGGCTTCTTAGCAGCAGGAGGCACTTTTAACAAGTCAGTTTCTGCATACCAAACCTCTTATCTGATCTAGGCATTATCTGAAGTTGTCTGCCAGGCTTCCTGGTTTGCCAGGTATGTATGTCTAAGTTATAGAAGACTGAATACTGCAGGAAGAAAACTTCATAAACCTCAGATAACAACCACTGACTAGTTACAAAAGGATAGTTCAAAGCCTAGGTGCCATCACTTCGGAATTCATGCCATATCAGTGGCTCTGCTAAAACTCTGCTACACTGTGTGTGTGTGTGTGTGTGTGTGTGTGTGTGTGTGTGTGTGTGTGTCAGTGTCATTCTGTTCATCTGTCTGTCTGTCCAGGACTTTCTTCTGTGGACCAGGCTGGCATCAAACTCAGATCCACCTGCCTCTGCCTCCCAAGGCATGCCTTTAATCCCAGCATAGTGAGTTCCAGGACAGGGCTATTACACAGAAAAACCCTGTCTCAAAAAAACTAAAAATAAATAAAATAAAATGTGTGAACTGCAGGATGTCTTGGTCCATTGACTTGTGAAACCGGTCCATTCCACTATGTCTTAAAATAATTTGGACTGTCTCCCATATGAGGTTATAAAGAATTCCAACACAGGAATGATCTTCTCTGATAAAAGTATGCATGATGCCTGTCTTAACAAGTTCCAAGTTCCTTTATTCTTTGACTCTGAACTTGAAGTATTCTAAAGGCCCACCAGATAATGAGATTTAGCCTCTTGCCACGTGCAGTGCTATTATTATGTCTTAGAGTTTCTGTGATAAAACTCCTTGACCAAAAGCAGCTGGGAGAGAAAGAATTCATCTGACCTCACAGGTTACCAGCTATCACTAAGGGAAGTCAGGGCAGGGACCTAGAGGCAGGAACTGAAGCAGAGGCCATGGGAGAGCGCTGCTTACTAGTTTGCTAGGGTTCCTTTCTTATGCCCATGACCACCTGCTTGGCCAGGAGTAGCACCACCCACAGTGAGCTGGGCCCTCCCACATCAGTCATTAACCAAGGAAATGCATAACAGACTTGCCTACCGGCCCGTCTTATGAAGATATTTTCAAAATTTTGAGTTCCTCTTCTAAAAATGATTCTATCTTGAGTCATGCTGGCATAAAACTGACCAGCACAGGACACTTTGTAAATGCTGATCTCATTCTGCTTGAATATTAAGGAAAACACTATTTCTGCTGAATAGTAGTGGTGGTGCTTGCCTCAGATCCCAGAACTGGAAAGGCCATCCTGGTCTACAGAGCGAGTTCCAGTTCTAGCCAGAACTACACAGAGAAACCCAGTCTCAGGAATTAAAACCAAAAAAAAAGAACATTTTTTATTAGATTTTTGAAATGAAACTAGGCATGGTAGTATGTACCTGTAATCACAGAACTTGGGTGGCAGAGGCAGGAGGATCTTAAAGACTCATCTTAAAACAAAAAAAATGCCGCCCCACCACCACCACTTGGGCCCAGAACTACTGAAATGTAACATAACTTCTGTTATCCTACGTTTATAGATTGTTGTGTTTGTAACCAATGTTTGATACTCTCTGAATTTTTTTTTTTTCCTAACAACCAACTTGATGAACTTTTAGAATGTGTTGCCTGCTCTGATTGGTGTAGAGGCTTATGTGTCATAAATAGAATATTTTTGAGAATTTTATTTTACCAGTTTGAAATTTAACTAACACTAAATCAATAATATAGACATTAAAAACCCATCTGTTGCTGGGTGTGGTGGTACACACACCAATAAACCTAGCATTTGAGAGGCCACAGCAGGTGTAACTCTGAGTTCAAGGCCAATCTAATGAACATAGCAAAGCAAGTTCCAGAACAGTGAGACTCTGTTTCAAAAACAAAACAAAAAAGTGAGTGGAGGGGTGGTAGGCTAGAGAGATGGTTCAGCAGTTAAGAGCACTCATGGCTCTTGTAGAGGATCAAATTTAACTGCTCCAGGGGATCTAGTTCCCTCTTCTAGAGTTTCCAAGCATAGTCACTCAAATAAACACACACACACAGATCCACATACACACATGAATGCACAGGCACCCATGTATACATAATTTAAAAATATAATAAAAAGTAACCATATTGTACATAATTAAAATATTAATTATACTTTTTTAGGTTATTTATTTATTATTTATACAGCATTCTGCCTGCGTGTATGCCTACTTGCCAGAAGAGGACACCATTTTAGATGTTTATCAGCCACCATGTTGTTGCTGGGAATTGAACTCAGGACGTTTGGAAGAACAGCCAGTGTTCTTAGCCTCTGAGCCATGTCTCCAGCCCTTGAATTATGCTTTTCTTTAGAGGGGTCTTGTACTTCAAGAAAGAGTATCTGCACACGTTGTCTTCATACTGTGTACCTGCAAGTCTTTCCTGGACTCTCTGGCCAGCCTCTCCTCTAGCTACTTCTTGGGGAAGGAATAGCTGTTTCTTGCTCTACCCCCAAGCCCATTCCTTCTCTTGAGTCTCTAAGACCACTTATATTCTGCAGAGAAGAAGCCTGAACAGCCCGTTTGTCTTTTCTTGCTGTGTTCAATGCACGCGTTGATCCTAGCTTCTAGTTTAGTAAATTTTCAGTAGCTGGGCAGAGTAATCAGATGGATTGACTAGTCTCTGGACCTGAACAGAGAAGAGCCAGTGAGACAGATGGCTTGGCGGGTAAAGGTATTTGTCAGTTGCCACACAAATCTAGTGACTGGAGTTTGATCTTCAGAACCCACGTTAAAGTGAAAAGAGAGAACCAGCTTGTAGGGTTCTCCTCTTCGTGAGTATGTTTGTCTGAAGCTGTTTTAAAGGTAACATGAAGACTAAAATAGTCCACATGCTGAGCTTTCCCATCTTAATAAGAAGGGCCTCTGGACCCAGTAAGGATGCTGACTGCTCTTTATGAATGAGTAAATGTCTTTTGAGTGGGAATGTTTAAACTGTGTTGTTCAAATGACATCAGATACACCAATGTGGAATACCTAGCATGCCCACGACTTCAGTCATTCATTTAAAGGGGAACGGATGAACGGTACTATGTCCTAGTGTCAGGGTCATTTTACCACCAAGTTTATATAGAGACATCTCTCAGGAGGTTTATTTTAGCCAGAGCTTTGAGGGTACATATGCAAGTATTCAAACAGGTAAAGTGTTGTTTTCTTTAAGATAATGAACTTTTTAAGCTGCTGTTTGCAAAAGCAATTATAGGTCAGCAATTGCCTCAGAATCCTCAAACAAATTAAAAAGATTCTTAATCTCTGGAGGTCTACAAGGGTCTGGGGAGACGGTGTGTGCCTTAGCAGGCTGCTCTTTGGTCACTGTTCCATCACACTGTTATCTCTGCCTCTGCCTGAACCCAAACCCTCTCCTAGCCTGACAGAAGTGTTCGCTTATGCAGCTAGCCCTGCCTCACTCTGTGCTACATCTACCTGTCGGTTGAGACATCGGAAGTCGATGTCCTTGTCAGCCTCTGGGCACCCCAAGATGATGTTACCTCCAATAGACAGTGAAGGAGATAACTTCAAGGCTATGTAAGAAAAATGCACATTCCTTGTGAAGCTCATGTGTACCCAATGCTGCTTAATTTTGTGCTGTGGATTTTATGGTCCAAGATTTTGTTACAGTTGTTCACAGATGTTTTTCTTCCATATAGTTTTAGTTAAGCACATCCTGTTTCATTGTGTCTGTGTTGTCTCTGTGTGTATATGCCTGTCTTCATGCCTTGGCATACTACAGGGGGTATAAGCAGTCCCCACCCTAACTCTCTTTCAGCATGTGGGATTTTATATTTATACCATCTGTGCACTTCCAGAAATTGTTGGTTGCCTGTCCCTTTTTACATGTAAGTCTTTTCTTTTTGGCACAATTCTCTGTATTAGAAGCAGCTTGAAAGGCAAGTAGAGGGGGGAAACTTGAGTTAGCCATTCTCCACCCTACATTAATCTTGTCCTTAAAATGTACATATACTGTACCCCTAAATTCTTTGAGTTTTGTCTCTTGTTCTTTTGATATCCTTTCCCACTGAGCTTACTTTTGCTGCTAAGTCCTGTAAAGTATCCTTTGGATCTGGATTCACAATGGCTGATTTACTTCACTATGTGTAAAAGGTATATTGTGTTTATAAATTTTCATGTATCATGATTTTGGGAACAAAGGTGTCTCTTTTTTTCTGCTTTCCTAGCACTATTCCTGATCAGAGAACTCCAGTTGCTTCTACCCACAGTATTAGCAGTGCGACCACCCCAGATCGCATCCGCTTCCCAAGGGGCACAGCCAGCCGTAGCACTTTCCACGGCCAACCTCGGGAGCGGCGAACTGCAACATATAATGGCCCACCTGCCTCGCCCAGCTTGTCCCACGAAGCCACACCACTGTCCCAGACTAGAAGCCGAGGTTCCACTAATCTTTTTAGTAAATTAACTTCAAAACTCACAAGGAGGTAAGTGTCATGAGATTGTTCTGTTGGAGCAAACACAAAGAGAAAAAAAGTCTTTCCTAATGTGTGAAGCTGCTTCCTGGATCCTTGTCATTCTTCCCTTTGCTCATGTGTTTCTATTTCTTGTGTATCCAACTTTGGAATTACAGAACTCAGCATTGTTTCACAGTACTGAAAGTTGTCTAGCACTTGGGAAGAATTGTTGTAATTCTTTAATTATTGTTTGTATTGTAGACACATCTATACATGTGACACACCCATTGCAGTTTATCAGTCACCAAGAAAAACATATTCACTGATTATCTTTAAACATGCAATGATCTCTTCTTTCATGTTTGGCCTTTTACCAAGCATCTTACCCGCCTAGCCATCTCACCAGCCCCTAAGCTGATACTTGAGCATCATTAAAACCCTCTAGTGAAGGACTATCATTGATTTAAAATTCCAGCACTTAAGCCAGGTGTGGTGTTACACACCTTGAATCCCAGCGTAAGGGAGGCAGAAGCAAGGGGATCCCTGTGAGTTCAAAGCCAGCCACTATCACCCAGCTGTCCTTGTATTTCATCCCCAGAACCAACTCTGTGTGGATAGATACTCCCCCACTCTGCTGAATAATGAAGATGAGGTTTAAAAGATCAAGAACAATTTTATGTCCTACACTAAAGCCACTAAAGCGTGTCTGAGCCAAGTGTGCCTGCCTCCACAGGCTCCCATTGATGTACTGCTTCCTGTACTGTTCCCTAGAAGATGCAGTGAAGGGCTGCTTTGTTCATTTTCTGATTACACCTGTTTCATATAACACAGTGTTTAAACAGAAATTTATTAAGGTTTCTTGTTTAAGACAGTATAGGTGAGGCTGGGTGGGGGTGGCACACTCCTTTAATCCCAGTATTTGGGAAGTAGAGGCAGGTGGATCTCTGTGAGTTTGAGTCAGCCTTGTCTGCAGATTTGAACTCCAGGACAGCAGGGCTACACAGAGAAACTTTGTCTTAAAAACAAAGCAAAAGAAATTTACAAATGATTGTTATAGGCACCTCTAGTTGTTTTTTTTTTTTTTGTTTTGTTTTAAGATTTAAAATTTTTGCTTGAGGTGATGGTGGTACAGTCTTTAATCCCAGCACTTGGGAGGTAGAAGTAGGCAGATCAAGGATAGCCTGCTCTACAGAACTTTCCAACACAGCTAAGGCTACACAGAGGAACATTGTCTAGAAAAACAAAAACATATAAACAAAAAATTTTACATTATGTGTATGAATGTTTTGCCTGCTTTGTATGTCTGTGCACTATGTGTTTGGTGCCTGTGCTCACAGACATCAGAAGAAGGCTTTGGATCCCCTGAAACCTGAGTTACGGTAAGCTGCCATGTGGATGCTGGGAATCGAACCTACATAAACCATTGGCAAGAGTATCTGGTGCTCTTAACCATTGAGCAGTCTCACCAAGCACTCTACCCCCAGTTTATTTAGTTTTTGTTTTTTGTTTTTACTTTTATTTGAGACAGGGCTTTTCTATATATCCTAGGCTGGCAGAATTTGCCAACCCTAGAGATGGTTCAGTAGTTAAGAGTACCGTACTCATTTTGTAGAGGACAGGAGTTTAATTCCTAATATCCACTTGATATGACTCACAAACACTTGTAACTAGAGCTCCAAAAGGAGCATACCAACACGCACACTCAAAAACAAGCGAATAATTGAATGAATGAGTCTGTCTGTGGGACCCTGCAGGCACTATAGAGCTCCAGCCCAGACAAGGGCCTCAGAGGGTCCACATGATTCCAGGCACAGTGCAAGCCTTCAGTCTGTTTTCCGTCCTCTTCCTTCCACCTTATGTGAGTATTAAAAAAGATTTGAGGAAGCCAGGCTCCGTGGCACACTCCTGTAATCCCAGCACTCTGGAAAGCAGAGGCAGACGGCTCTCTTAAGTTGTAGGCCAGCCTGATCTACAAAGTGAGTTCAGAACAGCCAAGGCTACACAGAGAAACCCTGTCGTGAAAAAAAAAAGGTTTGAGGGAAGAAAAGTACATAAGTTTTATTCACAGTAACTTTTGGCTTACCAGGTAGAAAATCAGCAACTGAAACTTTGTGAGGGGCTGGACAGCTGGCTCAGCAGTTAAGATCATGTACTGCTATTTCAGAAAACACGTGCTCAGTTCCAGCAGCCACATGTCTGCTGACAGCTGTCTACTACTGCACTTCTACAGAATCCATCACCACCTTCTGGCCTCCTTGGCCCCTCACACTTGTGGTACATGCACTTATATACAGGAAAAATACTCATATGTCTACAATATATAAATCAGTACTTTTAAAAGGCCTTGTTGTCTAGGCATGCACAAGGGCCTGGGTTTGATCTCCAGCACTGGGAGAGGAAGGTGGAGACTGGTAATTATTTTAAAATAATATATCTATATGTTTTATTTATTTGTTGGTTTGTTTGTTTATTATGTATGTGAGTGATGTTTCATGCACACAAGAAGAGGAAATCAGATGCCATTACAGATGGTGGTGAGCCACCATGTGGTTGCTGGGAATTGAAGTAAGGACCTCTAGGAAGAACAGCCAGTGTTCTTAACTGCTGAGCCATCTCTCCAGCCCCCATGAAATAATAGATCTACATATTTATATGCTGTCTAATTAAAAGTCTTTTGCATGCTTAATATCCTATACAGTGTTTATCCTGCGGTATACCATTGTGTGATATGTATGCTGTAGAGAACGGTTGTCCATAGACTACAGTATAACACTTTTTTAAAGATTTGTTTATTTTATGTATGAGTGCTTTATATGTACACCTGCATGCCAGAAGAGGGTGGTTATGAACCACCATGAGGTTGCCAGGAACTGACCTCGGTCCTCTGGAAGAGCAGCCAGTGCTCTTAACCACTGAGCCATCTCTGCAGCCCTGTATGACACTTCATCCTGTCTAAGCAAGGGTGTCCACCCTCGGCCCACAGGCTGCATGCACTCCAGAATAGCTCCGCATAGGGCCCGACACGCTTGCACGTGACAGTGCCACACCACAACGGCAAGAGTTTGCACTTTCCTGAAGGAAAGAAAAATCCAGAAGTTTCTGTTAGTGCCATCATTTGGTGAATATGTGTGTCTGTGGTGTCCATTACATCACTAGGCTTTTCTCTACCTATGCTTGCCCAGAGGTGCTACCTATGGGAAAGATCTTACCAGGGTCAGTTCATCACACGTATGTGTCTCCTCAAAGTTGTTGTTGTGGGGTTTTTTTAGACTTATTTATTTATCTATCATGTATACAGTGTTCTGCCTGCATAGGTGCTTGCAGGCCAGAAGAGGGCAGCAGATCTCATTTTAGATGGTTGTGAGCCAACATGTGGTTGCTGGGCTTTGAACTCAGATCCTTTGGAAGAACAGTCTCTGAGCCATGCCTCCATACCTTGCCTTGGTTTTGTTTTGTTTTTGTTGTTTGAGACAGGGTTTCATGTAACCCAGACTGGCTTTGAACTCACTATGTTGCCAAGGGTGACCTTGAACTTTTGATCCTTCTATCAAATAGCCATGCTCCATTTCGTGCAGTACTGGAGCTCAATCCCAAAGTTTTCATGCATGCTAGGCAAATTCTACCAAGCAGCATTACCAGCTCCACCCTATCCCCCTTTTAATGCAGGATCTTGCTATGTAGCCCTGGCTCTGGAACTTGGTATTGTAGACCTGGCTGGCTCAAGTTTCCAGCACCCCCTGCCTCTGTGTTCACAAGCTTTATTGTAGGACCATACCGTCACACATAGCTCAGTGATCATCCTCCTATGCCAAATGACTTGTGTTTGTGTAACAAAGGCAAGAGCTCTGCTCATGAGATAGTCTGTAGGAACCTGAGAAGTGTTATTTATTACAAGTGCACGGCAAGTGCTAGCTGTTTCTTTGAGATGGGAGAGTAGGCCTGTACTCCAGCGCTCGGGTGAAAGGAGGCAGGCGCAGGCGCAAGGCCAGCCTCTGACACACAGCACGCCCGAGCCATGATAACTTGAAAGACTCAAGTTTATCTTAAAAGCTCTTTGGGTTTTGAGACAGTATTTCTCTGTGTAGCCTTGGCTGTCCTGGAACTTACCACATAAGCCAGGCCGCCTCTGAGCTCATGTATCTACCTGCCTCTGCCTCCTGACCGCTGGGATCAAAGGCACGCACCACCACCGCCCAGCTTATCTTAAGAGCTTTTGTAATGAGTTTGGTTATTATGGCTAAACATGTTTTTATGTTTCAAATTAAAAGACCACATACTCAGTATAAGTGTTTATAATAATTTTACTTTTTCAACAAATGTTGCTTTATTGATTATTGGCTAGAAGAAGAGCCCTGATGTTTGTTTTTTTTGTTTGTTTGGTTCATTTTTCTATTCTTTCTATAGTTAATTAGATTTTCTGTTTAATTTGTACAAATCTTTTTTGTTAATTTTTTTTGGCTTAATTTCTTTTAGAAACATGTCATTCAGGTTTATCAAAAGGTAGGAATTATATATGTACACTTACTTTCAGCCCTCACCCCACCCTCCCCAAGTGGCTCTTGCAATTAACATCAGGTTTGGCTTTTGGTCCTACTTTTTGTTGTTGTTGTTTTCTTTCTTTAAAACTAAACTTTCTGCTATGAACTAAATCCTCATTTCCTTGAAAGGAAACTGTTGGGCATTTTAAAGGAACTGCAGCACCCACTCAGCAAAAGGCCTGTGCATGCCCTGTGCACTCTCTTTCCTTAGTAGAATGACTTGGCATCCAGATAATTGTGTCTTGGTACTAATAGCACTTAGCATGCTTCTGTTTAAAGATGGGTGTGCAGTGAACAGTGCACAGTTAATGGCTGACCGCAAGCCTGCAGAAGGTAAGTGGGAGCTACGTTAGTCAGCCGAAGACTGCAACATGACAAGGTGGCTGATTCTCTGATGTCGGCATAAAATCTCCTAGCCTCATTTGGTTTGCCTTATGTAGAGACTGGGATATCAGTAACTTCACGAAAGAAAGGTCTAATATTTTTGGAGAGTTGAGGAGCAAATCGTATTCTTTTCAATAAAGAAGGCATGTGGCATTGTTTTACTAGAGCATGATAGTAATCAGGGTTTCCAGTTTCGTTAATATTTTTGATGTTGACTGTAAGAGACCAAAAATATTGATGTTCTTGGAATGTGCATGTGTGAGGCAGAACCTCTGCTATTAAAGTTGCTGCCTAGCCAGTCCTGGTGACACACCCTTAATCCTGGTCACCTGGAAGGCAGACAGGCAGACCTCTGAGTTCCAAAGGCAGCCTCATCTATATTTTAAGTTCTAGGATGGCCAGGGCTACATAAGAAGACCCTATGTCCTCCTGCCCCCCCCCCCCCCCCCAAAAAAAAGTTACTGCCTGCTTTTGTTCTTAAGAAGGCTGCATTTTTTTGTTTATGAAACACTATCTCTTTGCTAAAAACTGAAGGGAAGTACTTTTTGTTGCAAATGCCATTCCATGATGACTTTTCGGCTCATCTTCTCAAACAGCTAGTTTTTTTATTGAACAGATATGTTACATTTGAATGTAAAGATCTACTGATAACTTCATTTCTTTCAAATGGAAGCCGTAGTGTGCGGAGTGGTTATAGAACATAGAACAGAACAGCTCTAGTCTAAAGACATGAGTGTGCACAGCAGGAAGAAAGCGTTAGTGAGCATGCAGCCTCTCTCCACAGGGTTGTCCTCATGGAGAATACATCATCCATCACCTGAGGCAGAGGAGGAGGGCTCTGGATTAGTGGAACTGAGAAATGCCTGGGCTTATCCACTGTATGATGTTTTGTTGATGTCTGGGTGGTCGTGTACCAGTGTGTAAGATTTCTTTTCTCTTTCCCACTTTCCTTTGCTTCAACGTTCTGTCCATTGAGACTTCCAACTGAATATGAGAGGAACGGGAGATATGAGGGCTCAAGGTGAGGGAAATTTTTACTTCAAATATTACCTACCTCATTGTTGTGCCAGAGATGACCAGTGCTGTTTTCTGGTTATTTGTTTAAGTAGAGTGGGCCTGATCCTGGATGGAGGTTCTAGAATGTTCTTGAGGCTCTGCTTGCTGGACCTAGGAGACTGCTTTGTTCCACAGCAGCCACAAGAGGGCACTGGTGTGCCGCGAGAGCCTTCTTAAGACCCTTAGCCCAGCTTCACATTTGTGTCTTGATGCCCCAAGTAAGGTTGGGAGGTCCGAGTTGGCATTTATTTTAAAATGATGACTATAGAAGTTGTATGCTTGCCTTTTGTTTGTTTGTTTTGTTTTTTGAGACAGGGTTCCTCTGTGTAACCTTGGCTGTCCTCGCTTTGTAGACCAGGCTTGGCCTCAAACTCACAGAGATCCTCCTGCCTCTCTGCCTTCCAGAGTGCTGGGATTACAGGTGTGCCCCACCAGGTCTGGCTTATGTTTGCATTTTGGTTTTGAGTGGCTCTCGTGTGGGTATGGAATCACAGGTAACTCAGGGTCCCGTCTCTGTAGTGGTAGGTAAACTCAGGGTCCCGTCTCTGTAGTGGTAGGCCTCCTACTGTTCTAGAGCAGGCCCCAGTGATGCTGTGGTTCCAAATGTCACTGGCAGCTACTCCTTGACCAACGGTCCCTGTGAGGCCCTGAGGATGGCATCGGCTTCCTTTAAGGTAGAGGGAGTGGGGAGTGGGCTCCAGGAAGCCTCCTCCCAAGCCTGCCACAGCTTAGAGCAGGGTCTGCCTTTCCATATGTATTGTCCCATCCACAGCAGGAAGGTGGGGATGGACTCTGCCTTCTGGTGTGGACCAACACAAGCCTCGCCATACAGGCGTTCTGAAAGGGCCAGTGGGTTTGTCCCTCTGGCCTAGTCTGGTGGGTCTGGGCTTGAGTACGTTTGCTTTTGGTGGCAATATCTCTGTTCAAAATAAAAACTCAGCAGGCACGGTGGCACACATGTATAGTCCTAGCCCTTGGGAAGTAGAACAGGAGGTCAAGGCAGGTCTGAACTATGTGAGACCCTGTTGCCACAAAAAAAAAAAAAAAAGAAAGAAAACCAACAACACAAGACATGTTTCTGATTCCATTGAATTTTATTAAGTTGTACGTGGCCAGTCCTCCTTGTCTGCCCTGCCCTGTTCTTCCCTTCTGTGACCCCAGCAGACTGCCCATATTGTTTGGGCCGCTTCTCCCTCCTCACCTAAGGTTTCCTGATCCCAAAAGTGTTGCCCAGCTTGTGCTTGCCTTTGTTCCTGTGGAGTCTAACATAGAATTTAACTGCACTTCGAGCCCTCAGCTTGTGCAGACCAGTCATTCCAGTTCTCATAGACAAGTGGGCTGCGGCATTTAATTTTTCTGTCTGTTTCATTAAAGTTAGATCATGAGTTGTGGTATTTGTAGTGTCTGGTTTTTCCTAGTTTGAGACAGGCCTCGCTGTTGGTCAGGCTCACCTCAGGCTCCTGAACTCCTGTGACCCTTCTTTCTCAGCCTTCCGAGCCCCTGATCCCACAGGAGCATGACCTGGGAGTCTTCAGCTGTGAAACTGGAGGCTTAGCAAAGTAGAGAAGCAGGAAGGTTGGGCGGTGACAGAGAGTGGCTGCATGCCTGTGCCCTCAGCGTCTGACTGAGGGACAGTATTGCTAAGCTGGGTGTGGTACGTGTGGCAAGCATAACTATAGTAATCGAGGCGCTGTGGGTGAAAGCAGGAGGCTGTGGGTCTGCGCCCACCCCGAGTATGAGTGTTGACTCTGTCCCGTTTTGGCTGAATGAAAGGATTTCCAGTACAGGTGGCTCCTTTCCAGCCAGGTAGATTTTTGTGGGAATGTGCATGTTTAGGGTTGGAGATAGAGGTGTATGCCTTTTGGTAAATGTCAGGTGCATGGTCAGTTGTCATTGGTGCTGAAGGAGTTGATAACTAGCTAAGGTGTAAAAGGTTATTTTTCCAGTGCAATTAAAAATCACCCTGCCCCTGTGCATTTCAGTCGCAATGTATCTTCGGAACAAAAGGATGAAAACAAAGAGGCAAAACCTCGTTCACTGCGCTTCACCTGGAGCATGAAAACCACGAGTTCTATGGATCCCAGTGATATGATGCGGGAGATCCGCAAAGTGCTGGACGCCAATAACTGCGACTATGAGCAGAGGGAGCGCTTCCTGCTCTTCTGTGTCCATGGCGACGGGCACGCAGAGAACCTGGTGCAGTGGGAGATGGAAGTCTGTAAGCTGCCAAGACTGTCTCTGAATGGAGTCCGGTTTAAACGGATATCAGGGACATCCATAGCTTTCAAAAATATTGCTTCCAAAATTGCCAATGAGCTAAAGCTGTAGCCCAGTAATTATGGTGTAAATTAAGTAGCAATTTAAGGTGTTTTCCAGAACACTGATGGAAATGTATAGAGTAATATTTAGGCAATAACGTCTGCATCTTCTAAATCATGACATTAAGGTCTGAGGACGAGAGCACGCCTGGGAGCGAAGGCTGGCCTTTTCTACGAATGCACTACATTAAAGTCTGTGACCCCGTGCCTCTGTCTTGTTTCCATTGCCCTGGGAGTCAGAGTGTAACACCATCTGCCCGCGACTCCTGTGTGTGGTGTGAGTGGTGGCGTGTGTGGGAAGCACTGTATTGGAAACGTCTCCTCACGCTGGCAGCCAGCATTACCAGTACCTCTGTGGGAGATCATTTGGTGCTAAAACATTACAATTGCCAAGAAGGAAAATACTGAATTACTGCTAAGAATTAACCTTAAGACTAGTTAATTAATACAGGTTTACAGTTCATACCTGTGGTTTTGTGTTTGTTTCGTGATTTTTTTTTTGCTTTTTTTTTTTTTTTTTTAGTGCAAAAGGTTTAAATTTATAGTTGTGAACATTGCTTGTGTGTGTTTTTCTAAGTAGATTCACAAGATAATTAAAAATTCACTTTTTCTCAGTAAAATCTTGCACTGTCTTCTCGTGCTGTACTGAAGCCTCAGTCTAAGGCAGGAAAGCTGCTGCTTGCCTCCCGTTGGATGGAATAGAGGCAAAGGACATGTGTGAAGCTCGGAGCACTGAGTACTCTGCAGAGACCCCAGCCTTTCGGATGGTAGCACCCTTTCTCCCGTGTCCCTGTCTCTGGGAGGGGATGGTGGCTGCTTAGTCCTTGGGGGCCATGCATCCTCATGACGAAACACCCGGTCCTGACATCAATGAGTTTTTTTTTCTTCCCCATGTAGTACCAGATATTCCTGTCCCTCCCTGTGATCCCCACGTGAATCAGACCTACAGCTTTTTCCCAACACCTACGTGGTTATATTGGGGGTCGGAGGGAGAATGAACTTGACACCCACTTTTAACATTTTAATGTCACAAGGAAATTGTCACAGTGACTGAGAGTGCTGTTTTGGGTTGTTGGCTGGAGCATGCAATCTGGACTAGTGCTTAAGTCACAGCTGTCTGTTGTCTTGTCTTCCATGCTCAAGGCACTCTTGTACAAAACATCATAGATGGGTGAAAACACAGACCCGAGACCTTGAAGCTTACATTCCAGCAGTCAGTCAACAAACAAGAAGTTGGAGCTTGGTAGCTGGAGAGATTGCTGAGTGGTTAAGAGCATATAAATCAAGTGAGGGTTCCAGAACAGCTAGAAGCTACACAGAGAAACCCTGCCTCCATAAATAAATAAAGAAAAACAAAGCCCCCCCAAAAACCCTGAGGGGCTTTAGTCCCAGCACTTGGGAGGCAGGTGGATCTGAGGCCTGGTCTACATGGTGAGTTACAGGATAGCCAGGGCTACACAGAGAGACCCTGTCTTAAATCGTTAAAAAAAGGGTAAGGATGTGGAATGGAACATAGTAAAAAAAATAACTTGAAATACATTAATACACTGCAGAGCAGCTTGGAAACTCCAGAGGGCACAGGCTCACTAGGCCCCTGGCAACTGTGCACAGGAGCCACAGGAGGTTTCTGACTGGCCTACTGTCAGCCATCTGTGGCAGCTGTTTTGGGAATTCATCACAGGGGGAGAGAGCTAGAAGTCAAGAAAGCTAAGCAGAGCCCCTCAGACAGCATAGCCAGCTGTGGGCAGGCCCGCTGTGGGCACTAGTTGGGCTCTGCTGCACTCTTGAGGGAGCAATGGCATGAACTCTTTGATTTGGGGTGAATGAGAAAGGAAAGGGCAGAGATGGCTGAGTGGTGGTGGCAGCGTAAGCTTTAATCCCAGCAGAGGCAGAGATGGGAGGATCTCTGTTCAAGGCCAGCCTGGTCTACACAGTGAGCTCCAGAACAGCCAGGGCTACACAGAGAAACCTTATCTCAAAAAAAAAAAAAAAAAAAAAAAGAACGAAAAGGGCAGAGATGACTGTTTCTGGCATGAGCCTTATGACCCTGGAGTCTATCATCTTAGTCCTCCAGAAGTGCCCTGCTAAGCAGAGGAGACTGTCCAGCCCTTTGGCCAGGTGCCAGCTCTTGTCATTCCTCTGAACGTTCATACTTTGAAAAGTGTCTCACAGGACCCACCAGATTGTGCCCTTGGTGCCCTAGGTCACTTTGTTAGACAGTCGTATGCCACTTATCAGGGCAGGGTCTGAGCTGCACTTTAGGACTCAGCGAGCCGATACTCTGTGCCCTAAACTGGATTGGGGCATGCCTTTCATCTCAGCATGTGGGGAGACCACAGCAGTCAGGTTTCTAGAGTGAGGTCCTGAACAGCCGGGACTTCTTACTAAGACCCAGATTCAAAGAATCCTGCCCCAGAAATCCAATCAGGGTTCGGCCCCCCCACACAGCTCAGGCTGAGGTGTGTTAAACGGGGCTCATGCTGGCTGTGGTGGTGCATAACTTGAATCTAGCGCCTGGGAGACAGAGGTGGGTAGATCTCCGTGAGCTGAGGCCAGCCTGGTCTACACAGCAAGTTCCCAGTCAGCCAGAAGCAAAGAAAGGGAAAAGAAGTGGCTCTTGTTAGCTGCTTTTCCATCTCTGTATTCGAAAAGCCAGTGGGGTGCAAGAAGTCTGCCCGTGCCCTGAGGAGCGCAGCCACTGTGTGAATGCAAGCACTCTGTGCGTTTTGTTTGGTTTGCCATTTGGCTATACTGTAATGTTAACAGAGCAAATGAGTAACTGTCTCCAAGAGAAGTATAGATAACCACTGGATTCCTGAACTGGCTGAATTTAGAAGGCTTACTAATTTGTTTTGTTTCGTTTTGAGACAGGGTTTCTCTGTATAACCCTCACTGTGTAGACCAGGCTTGCCTCGAACTCAGAATTCCAACTACTGACTGCCTCCTGAGGGCTGGAATTAAAGTTGTATAATAATATCGCCTGGCAAGAAGGCTTACTAACTGATGTTGATTTTAGTGGCAGCATTTTAGGACAAAACAGAGAAACTCTCCCTTCACAAATGGGGCCATGTCCTTTCTTCAGAGTCCAAGATAAAGCGTTAATATTGAAAATCGTTTCAGACCTAGACAATGTGCTACTTTCTTTTTCTTGTCTATTTCCTGGGAGTATCTCAAACTAGGTATGCAGCCTGGCTGGTATGTGGTCCTGAGGATAGAGTTAATATGCTTTCTTGCCAGAGAAAGATGTGCTGGGCTCCTCAGGTCCTCTTCATCTCTGGTACTGTGAAAATCTAAGGCCAATGTGAAGAGTCCCCTTCGCTCATTACCTCAGTTGTTACCATTATCGCTGTGGGGGAGCACCGTACTCTGCAGGGACACCAACAACCAGCTCCAGCAAAGGTGCCAGGTTTCTCCCCGATGGTTGATGGAGCGGAGAATCTTGAGTGTGGAAAGGCCCCAGGAGAGTGAGCGCTGTTCTGAAGCAGGACCACTCCAAAATGCATTTTACCCAGAGGTCAGCACCTTTGGTGAAAATGAAGATGGCCAGGTGTAAGGACCAAGATGACACATTTGTCAACTTAATCCTCAGATGGTAGGGCCAGGAAGACCGGAGTCAACATCAGTAAGTCTCAGAATAGCCAGTTGCGGATTGTAGCTGAAATACTACCCTTAAAGACAGCTGTCTATAGCAAGACCTTGTCTAGGTTTCAGAGAGGGTGGGCGGGTAATTGGTTAGACAACATTTTAGGGGTTGAGGTGTGCAATTTAGACTGGTCTGACAGCTCTGCAGACTCTGCACACTCCTTTGGATTTTTTTAAAGATTTATTTATTTATTATGTATATAGTGTTCTGCCTGCATGTACACCTGCACACCAGAAGAGGGTACCAGATCTCATTATAGATGGTTGTGAGCACTATGTGGTTGCTGGGAATTGAACTCAGGACCTCTGGAAGAGCAGCCAGTGCTCTTAACCTCTGAGCCATCTCTCCAGCCCCCTTCCCTTTTCTCTCTCTCCTTCCTTCTCTCTCCTTCCTTCTCTCTCCTTCCTTCCTTCCTTCCTTTCTTTTTTTTTTTTTTTTTTCAGAGAATATCTCATATAGCCTTGGCTGATCTCGAACTGTTACTGTATTTTTTAAGTGAGAGAAGGTGGGTAGAGTGAGTGTTTCCCCCCCCCCCCTGGGGACGAAACCAAAGGCTTTAAATATGCTAGTACCACTGAGTTATAGGCTGGGTCCAAAATCCACTCTGTGAACACTGATGGGTCTAACTTCTCCCACCTGCCTCCTCCAGAACTCAGAATGGCACAGCCTGGGATGATGGGGCAACGTTTTTATTCCCAGCACTTGGGAGGCAGCTGCATCTCTGAGTTCAAGGCCAGTCTGGTAAACAGTGAATTTCAGGACAGCCAAGGCTATACAGGGATACCTTGTCTCAATAAAACAATGACAGCAGTAACCCCTGACCTGGGCCTGCTGGACAGAGAACAGACAGGCAGTCTGTGACATCACAGCTACTCTGCAAGAGACCTGTCAGATGTGCCAGGGTCTGCCTGTAACAGAGCACACCTGTATGGACCATTTCCCGGGCCACTGGAGCTGGGGCCCACCCCTCTTCTGGCTCATGGCTGTTGGGAGAGCACACTGCCACCCAGTGGAAGATGCCGGACAGTATCTGATCTAGACAGCGACTCTCAGGACAGTGGGACTACATAGATCCCCTGAGAAGGGTCAGCAGAGAAGCAGGGAGTGTAGCCCAAGGTCAGGCAAGTGGGAGACAGCACCCAGCTCCTTGCAGGACTTCCCGCTTTGACAGCTCGCCGTTGAGTGTGGACTTGCTTTACAAATATCTGGAAATTCTGGAAATGGCAGGACAGCCTGAGTGGCTGAGTGTCCACCCAGTCACCCTCCTCTCCCACACCCCATGACTGTGCAGGCCCAGACAGGCAGCAGCTATGGCTCTCAATCAGCCCTTCCTGGAGGACAGAGGAGGTGAAGAGGTTGGACCTGTTGTAGATCCAGGGTGTTAGATGGGATTATCACTTTACCCTCCACCAAGCTGCCTGCGCTTTGGGAAGTTTTGTTGTTACTGTTTGCTTTTTATTTTGAGACAGTTTTGCTCCAAAGTCAGATCTTCCTGCCTCTGCCTTCTGAGTACTGGGATTGAAGATATGTCACACCACACCTGGCTTAATTTAATTTTTTTATA